TTTTCTTGTCATCATACGACAATAACTTTGTTACGATTATAATCTTTAAGAGAGTGCGATTAGGTTACATAATTTAATGGCACACTCTCTACTGCTGAGATGAGCACTTAATTTGAAGAAGATGGCGCCGTGATAAATGCACATTAGTATTGATGTCCAATTCAACAGTTAACCTGGCAAACTTTACCTAGATACAATTTCGAAGTTACTAGTGTACCTTTTTTTTGATGTCGGGGGGAAAACCTTCACAAGGCGCTTTTTGGGGAGAAAGACTAGGGAGTGTGGGATTCTTACCTTACTGAAACCACCCCGGTGGCCACCCGCAGCAAAGTGTAGGTACCTAATAAAATTATTAGTTGAATCGAAGGCATGAAATAATATCATATTTTTGTCGTCAAAAATCTCTATTTAATAGTTCATATTATGGTTGGCAACACCAAAGAAAATCAATGACCTTAACATAATATAACATCACGCCTTCTATCCTCGAAGGGGTAGGCAGAGGTGCACATTATACCACTGTACAATGTACCACTCACTATCCACTATTTATGTTATGAGTCCAATGTAATAGGGGGTGAGCCTATTGCTATATCCGGCAACAGTTCCAGTCAATGACCAATGACCAATAAACTCGATTCAGCCGTTCTTGAGATTTTCATTAGAACACAAAGAATTTAAGAGCGCGCAGTAATCAGTGGGTGTTATATTATTTTTATTACACTTTTCGTATTCAAATCTCGGTTATGGAGATTTCAAAGTCTTAAAGCATGCATACTAATCTCGTAAAATTGATATTGAAAGGAAAATTACGCTCACAAAATTGTTTTACGTAATTTGATTGTGAACTTGTGACGTCATTGTGATGGAACTTTCCATTCATGTTATACAACGGTTAACCTATGATATAAAAATAGATTTTCTTTGAATCTTTTATCTGAATAACATAACATCACACCTTTTATCCCCGAAGGGGTAGGCAGAGGTGCACATTATGCCACTGTACAATGTAACATTGAGCAATGTGGCATAGGTGCACATAACATAACATCAAGCCTTCTATCCTCGAAAGGGTAGGCAGGGGTGCACATTATGCCATTGTACAATGTAACAGCTACTTTTCACTATTTATGTTATGAGTCCCTTTCCCGTGTAATACGGGGTGAGTCAATTTCCATATACCGGGCACAATTCCAGACTCCGTGCTACCACTGAGAATTTTTAAAACAACCAGTAATACTTTGCCAGACCTGTGAATCGAACCCGAGACCACTTGCCCGGCAGTCGCACTTGCGACCACTCGGCCAACGAGGCAGTGTATATAAATAGATATATTAAAATATTCTATTCTTATCGGTATGTATTAAGATTTTATGAAGGAAGTTATACACATCGGAATGAATGAACAGCCTGGAAAGGTACTGAGATATATTTATTATGGAATATTTATAAACCTATAGACATTTCGTAGACAGTAATAATACCTACCTAGGTAGTAGGAAGTTAATTATCCACGATAAGTTCTTACTATTCTAGATCTGTTAATATTTAGGTGAGCTAATGACTAATCTAACAATCTTTGGCAATCTAAAGGTCAATTCTACCTAATCACAGTAATTATCATTTCAGTTTTGTTCAAATGCGCGCATTGTGCACCCTTGAAAGTCACTATTAGGTTTTTTATTCTTTGAATGTCTAGAATTGGGATGATGACAGGGTACCAAAATTAAAAATCTAATTAGTCCGTAAGTTAGGTAATGAAAAAATATTAGACACGTATTTTTTTATTTTATCGCATAAGAAAACAATACTTAGATAAAAAAGAATCAAAGTTTAGGAGTAAAAACGTCATTTCTACATATAAAATGTACACAGAAGTGACGTCACGCGATATTTGAAATCAATATATCGTCGAAAGTATTCGTTTCTGTAAGAAAATAAAAAATACATGTCTAATGATTTAAAATAAACTACCAGACGGACATTAAAATATTTATTAGGCATCTACCGTATTTGGTGTATGATCATAGTACAGTAAACACGTTACTAATCTTTCATGTTATTTCGTAAAATTCACACTAAAGATCACTTTAAAATATTTTATGCGGAATTTTAATTTAAAAAAATATTAAAATAAAGTGTAAATGTACTTAATATTTAAATACCGTACACCAATAATTACGTTAAAAAGCTTTGGACCGTATTTACCTTTGAATTTATGAAGGCTTGCGGATATTTATAACTACTACAGAATAAAAAGGCTACATTGACACGGCAATTAATATCAATTCATTCTAATCTAATTGGTACGAAATCTTCGTGCAAAACTAACATATCTTGCTTGGGTGACCTAGAGCACATTGTCTTACATTAAATTTAATTAAAAACCTGTACATGGGTGCCTTGAACTACATCATAGTGGATAACATTTGACCTTTATTGCTATGGAGTAATAGCGTATAACACGTATTTTACGTAATCTCTATCTAAATAGTTGATATTACGATTACTTATGTGCATTTTTTCATATTTTTCAATGTTAACTTCTAGTCTATTTGTTGGAATACTTAAATAGATTGTAGGCTTCAAGCTTCCAACTTATTTTTCAATTTTATACATTAACAAAAAGTCTAATCGGAATAAACACTATTTTATGAAAACAGGAATGACGTCATAATAATAGATACCAGCTATAACTTTAAGGCTTTGACTGCCAATAAAAAACTGTTGCAAGCCAAACCTCCGTCAACGTCGGTCACCGGTGATCCCCATGGCGTTTAACGTGTTAATAATAGACATTAATTGTATTTAAACAAACTGTCTGCCATGGATTTAATCCTCTAATTATAGAAATGTTTCAATATCATGTAATAAGTAATCTATACTTATAATAAATCTGTAGAGAGGTAAATTCTGTACATAAAATATATTTAAAAAATAACTATCAAGGGGTGGTTAGGGATCGCTACTGATGCCAAAAATGCAATCAGTAAAATTTTTGTCTGTCTGTCTGTCTGTCTGTCTGTCTGTATGTTCGTTATGGAAACAAAAAGTACTCAATGGATTCTAACGAAATTTGGCACAATTATTCTTCATACTCTTGGGCAGGTTATAGTATACTTTTCATTACGCTACGATCAATAGGAGCAGAGCAGTGAAGGGAAATATTGGGAAAACGGGAGAAGTTACTCCATTTTTTAAACTTCCGTCGCGTGTGCAGGCTTATAGGTTAAAGCTGCATAGAAATCATGTATGACGGAAATATTCTCCTTAAAATTATATAAAAAATATTCCTCGACAGCATATGTCTATCTTTTATGGTTGACTCACAATAACACGTGAAACTCCCGATAGCTTAGCAATTCGGTGATTTCTGATTGTTTTTGTCTACTCTAACGTTCACAATAGTCATTCATAGACTTTACGCTGTAACTGAAAGGCCAATGGTTGAAATTAGCTTGACTCGATATTATAAATGAAAATATGTGAGTTTATGTGTTTGTGTGTATGTTTGTTACTCAGTCATATTAAAACGACTGAAGGGACCGGAATGAAATTCGGAACAGTGGTAGATTATGGTCTGAAGTGATACATAGGCATTTTACCCCTGGGACCGCGGGCGAAGCCGCTGGCAGAAGCTAGTAGTTACATATAGTCATAACTTACTTTTCAACCGACTTCTTTCCAGCTCTAAATACGATCTATCTAAATTCACTAAAAATCGCGGGTTACTCATGTGAAAATATTGAGAAAAGCTCTACTCAGTAGGCTGCGCGACATCGCCGCGACTAAGCACGCGGCTCATGAGGAAGAACCCCTCTGTGGTTCCAAACTAATAGAGCTTTTCTCAGTATATTCACGTGAGTAACCCGATATTTAGTTAATTTAGTATGTCTCACGATAGTTATTATACAAACATCATCTACCTAAACTTTGATATGTGGCTAGGTGGGTATAAAGTAGGTACTCTACCTACCAAAGTTATATCACATTGATTCGCCTTCTCAATGATCGTATACCGTCAAGGATATAGTCAATTACGTACTGCATTTGTACCTATACCATATATCAATGTCACTAACTTAATATCATCATCAATACGACAAAAAACTTAAATGACCCAATTAAGATGAAATCATAGCAATTTAAATAGCCATTAATTGAAGCTGTATCATGTTCATATTCATAAATGGGTTTATTCAAAAATAGATTATGAATAAACCCTCGTTTCGTTTGAATAAACCTTGGCATTTGAATATCCGTTACCGATTCCATTGCAATTATTGAACAAATGTATTGTGAAGTGTATCAATCAATTAGTTTAAGTATTTTTTGTTGTTTAGTCAGTTATAAACGGTTATGGCTTCCGACAGCACGTTTGTTCCTTGGTGATTGGTATTAGATACGGCAGATTACTTGTACAACTTTTTTGGTGGGACCTTTCCTAATTGTCGTTGTTTACGATTTCTTTTTTTAATCGATGGACGATTTAGTTATACGTTTGTGTACTTGCTACCTACATCAGTCTAAAACGACAAGCTCTAGGTACTGAATGAATGTTGCATAAAGTAATGCTCTAATTTGGTTCAGCTTTTTTCGAATAAGCCCATTTGACGTCATATCATACAGACAATCACAAAAAGCAAGCTCCAGGAAAGGGTATACATAACCATCAACAATTAAATTATAATAACAATGACCATGTCAGTCATTTGGACGTATTGAGTCGACAAACTTGATATATAATGTATGCAAAAACTCAAATTAGTAGCGAAATTATCATCAACAGCCATAAACAATTATCTCCAAATAAGTGTAGACAAAGAAGATTTTTTTCTGAATAAAACGCATATACCTACATATACTTAGATACTATAACTATAAAAGCTTAAACTTTAACACACATCACTTTAATGAGACGAATTAGATATCATTTTGCTCTACCTCAATATCATTTAAATCACATACATGAAATCTTAGATCATTTTCTTCTTTCTCAGATACGGTCTCACCTACGAGGAGATTGAGAAGGGTCTGCCACTCATTGATACATCCCGCACCCTCATTCGTGAAGTATGTCCACCTGTGTTCTCTCACGTGGAGTGCAGAGCTGGCAAATACAGAAGATTCGACGGTCTGTGCAATAACTTGCAGAACCCAACCTGGGGCGCTACCATGGCTCCCTTCCAGAGGTAAATAAACAAAACTGGTTTTTACATTAAGTTCTTTTTGTTCAGTATTTAATCTAAACAGCTACATAAACAGCATTCTGTACCTACTTACCTACATATTTTCCACAAATGAAATTTCTATTATGCAATTAAAAACAAAATTGCAAAATCTACCGAATAAATACAATGTGACTCATATTTTGGAATGCATTAAAAACTTCCTATCCGGAAAAACATTCAGTTTTTTTGTAACATATTATATGAAAAACATTAGACAATTACATGAAATTAAAGCCGAAATGTTTGTATTATTGCATTAGCTGTAGCTACAACACGCAATCTGATAAGTCTCTCCATAACACGTAAAAAACAAAATCAAGATTCAAGATATACCTATTCGAGTTTCTGGATCTAGTAGAAAGTGAAATTTGCAGTGCAAAGCCCCGAGACGTAGGTATATAAAATAGTTGCTCACACATGTGGAACTGGTGTTTGATATGTTTCCTCTTTGCAGATTAATAGGGCCACTTTTCGCCGACGGTATCAACTCGCCTCGTATCGCTCATCATGGAAAAGACTTGCCACTTTCTCGTGTGGTATCCCGCACTATGCACCCTGATGAAGGCTTCCACGACCACGCTGGTACCGTCATGGTCATCGCTTGGGGACAGTTCATGGACCACGATTACACACTGACTGCTACTCCTCTTGGTAAGTTTTATATTATTGAATACCCTCTTTCTAATAGCCTAGTTTAAATAATAGGAGAAATAAAGAATTGGGGAGAATCAGATTCAATTAAATATCAATATTTTAATTATTGGACCAATCCATGCCATCATCATATGCCATCCGCCCCAACATAATATTTGAACTAGCTGTCAGATCTTTTTAAAGCATGACTAGAGTTAAATTAAACCTTATTTCCACACAGACCCTGTAAACCGTAACGACCCCGAGGAGTGCTGCAAGCGTCCCCCTCATCTGAAGCATCCCTACTGCAATGAGATCCGCATCCCTGACGATGACTACTTCTACCGCCTGTTTGGAGTGAAGTGCATCGACTTCGTGCGAGGTTTCCCGTCGCCAAGACCTGGCTGCCGTCTGGGTAAGAATCTAAATATTTTGAAACTCCAATCATGAACCAAATCCGTCATATATTTTTCGGTTTACAACTATTAATTTAGAGGTCAATGTTAACATATGAATTCAATAATTTGGCACATACGGTAAGGTTGCGCTTTATTTCAGATTCACACGCAATTTGCATTTCCTTTTGAATTGTTCCTGTAATTCCATAGAAGGTCAAACCGAAATTATCTAAATCACGGTCACATAAAGCTAAACTATTTTAGCTTTAGGACATTAGAATTCATCATGATACAAGAAAATACCATTAAATATAAAATATGATGTAATTATGGTGGACACTGAATTAGTTCAATCTCTTTTGGTAAAATACTGAGCAAATCTAATTTTAAAGAAAATAACATCTTCACACTTACTAATTCTATGATAGCTGCAAAAATGTAAGAAGCCGCATACAAAGAGTCGTAGAGAACATCACATTATGTCAAAAGTATGTCGCGTAAGCAGACATAACTTGACCTCACTGGTCAATCCATTGTTATTCATGAACATTACCACGTTAGATCAGATGCTTATCACAAAATCTGAGGGGAAAGTGTTGGTCATTACGCGTACACTCCATCGCACGTCTATTCCTTGATAACACCTAAGTAAAACTTTAACGATAATTTCGTCTCTAATCCCTGTGTATAAAACTTATTGTTGCTTGAAAGTAATGGACGATTGTTAAAGTGTGGTTGACTGTAGGTACTTCTTGTATAATTTAGTGTAGACTTTTGTCAGTCTTATCCGTGTTTGACATTCAGAAATAAGTGTAGATATTATTGCAAGTGGTTTAAGCTTATCTGACTGGCTACTGGCATATCATTAAGTACCAACCTATTGTTCTTTATTATACACTTTAATAGTAGGCGTGTTCTACTGAACTTAATAAACTAGGTAACTAGAGCATTTAGTCCTGTTTTGCAAAATAAGTACCTCGTAATCATAGGTAATAAACGTTCACTAGAAACTGGTTAAGACTTAATCATATCTCCTGGTAACAAACTCCTATGATTAAAGAAAAGTATACTTTAAAAGATACTCAATAGGTTGCTTTTAACAAAAGAGGATTTGCCAAGATTACCGAACCCCTTGTGCATGCTGTTCATAATACCAGCCCATATAACATAAAATTGTTCACTAAATTAATTACAAATTTGAGTTTCACTTTTAACTAGAATGAAACAAACAATGTATTGCCGAGACAAATGAAATTGAGAATGACTAATAAACCAGTTTTGCTACGACTAGCGACTCACAGGGAACCGATACAGATCTTTAGAGTCATAACTTGGCAAATGATGGACATTTTGCATGTTAGAAACTACGGGGTGCCACTTTCACAATGGACGAATAAACAGTAAACAAAGTTGGAGAATACCACCTAATTAAGAGCCATGTAGACTTACAAGACTTAGTAATAGACCTAATGTTAATTGACACAAAGACCATCAAGCTACGGTTTGGGAATCGAATTCAGAACTCGATCCCGGTCCACCGTGTCATTGGTTGTTAGAATAATCTCGACCAATGACGGGCGAGAATGCGATCGAGCTCATTTGAAAGTTAAAATCGACAGTTATAGAATAATCTATCAGGTATCCGCCTTGCTCCTTATATATGTTAAAACCAAGAAGAAAAATTAAATCCATAATTCGAAAGGGTTCGAGAGTCGTAACATAGATCAATTTTATGTCAATGTACTGTAATACAGTCTACACAGTAGATGAATTTGCGGTAAACAAAACGTACCTCTATATAAAGTAAAAGCGTTATTAAACGAAAATATTCGTGAATTCAGTTAATGCTATCTAATTATTGTAGGTTTTTCATGTAAATACTCAATTCATAATAATTATCGTTTAATAACAATTTTACTTTAAAGGTGCGAAAATCAATAGATTTAAAAATAAGCCCGAAAATAGGCTAATGTTACGAACAATTCTCACATAGTTCTAGTAAATATACAATAGTAGATAAATCCATTCAAATAATACTTAATAGCTGAATGGCAATGTCTCTGTCGCAAGTACACTATTAAGAAATCGATTGCAATATCTACATACACTTAACGTTAATATTATGATAATAATATACGTACACTTTGTATGCTAACTTTACTAAATAAATTCGTAAGTAACTTACTGCGTATTATACGAACATTATGGGGAGACTGTGCAAATCTGGCGCACTAGTTGAAGGCTGTCCAGTTAACTTAATGGATAATAACCCAATAAATAATTTGATTGTCCATAATTGCACACATAAGTCGTGCATAATCACGACTTAGTGATGTGACATGACATATTTGTTTTAATATAATAGATAATGTACGTAGGTTACGTTGCGAAGATAATCACACTAATATTATAAGTGTGAAAGTTTCTTTGTATATTTGGATGTTTGTATGACAATCAAGCTGAAGCTACCGAACGGATTTGGATGAAATTTGGTTTACAGGCCTGCCTGTGATACCCTGGTACGAGGTAACTTAGGTGATAGGATTTTATCCTGATTAAGTGGTCACATGTTACAAAATAGGAATCCAAAATGTGTAATAGCTTTCCAATTTAAGTTGTCGTATGTGGGATTAAAATAATACAATCTTATGTGCGAGTTCGTTCGTTGGCCAAGTGGTCGCAAGTGCGAACCCGAGACCCCTTGCCCGGCAAGGGGTCTCGGGTCTTGTTAACGTGCTATATAAATAAAAATGCATTCTGTATTTGATGAAAGTAATATATCTATTAATTGTTTCTATTTTCTAGGTTCAAGAGTTCCATTCAACACTTTAACCGGAACTATAGATGGAAACACAGTTTACGGTGTAACTGAGAAATTCGCCAGGTAATATATTTTTACTGCACATAGAAAAAGACCTTTAGCCTTAAGCCTAAAGTCTAAAATAATATTCTGGTTAGAGTCTCTGAGCAGAACATTATCTCTCATTTTTCCAATTTGTAAATGTACCTAACTATTTTTGTTACTGGTTGGGTTACCTTAAATACATGATTCCTAGGATTTAAAAAAAAGGTATTATGCTTTTCTTTAACATGAGGCCTTATCTTTAACAGAAAACTGCGAACTGGTTTTGGAGGACTTCTGCGCATGAACCCAGTGTTCAAAGAGTACGGACTTAAGGACTTGCTGCCCCTCAAACTTGACATCCCTGATGAAGGATGCACCAGGCCCAACAAGAACATGTACTGCTTCGAAGCCGGTAAGCATTATTTAGAAGAACAATATGTACCTACTTCTTCGTTTTTAGTGCAATATCTGCTTTAACACATGGGAGTCCCCATGGCCGATGGCTTTTAATTTGTTGATGTTGATTGGTGACTGAAGTTAGCGGAGGATTTTCCTTCAACAGTTTTCTATTGGCAGACAAAACCTTAACAATTCTAGCTATTTCTGGGTACCCAAGTACCAAAACTGCAACTATTTTTTTATGGAATAAGCCCGTAAACGAGCTGCCCGATCACCTGATGGCAAGCAACCAGTGCCACCTGTGGAAGCACGAAACACCAGAGGTGTTACAAGTGTGTTAGCCGCCTTTTGGGGATTAAAAATTTGAGGATTGTTTGGGGATTCGGGGATTATGGAGATTGGGGAAGGTAGTAATTGGACCTCCGGTAACCTCACTCACACGTCGAAACTCAATGCAAGTATGGTTTCACATCTGTTTTCTGTGAGGCCGTGTTGTGTCAAAATATGAGCAAATTAAGACAACTGGTTTTATTTTCACATGTTGTTTTTCTCTTTTATAGGTGAAATTCGAGTAAATGAACAGTTAGTATTGACGGTCATGCACACTCTTATGGCACGTGAACATAACAGAGTAGCCAACGGCCTTGCTGAGGTCAACCCCCACTGGGACGATGAGACACTCTTCCAAGAAGCCAGACGTATCAACATTGCTGAAATACAACATATCACTTACAATGAATTCTTACCCATCCTCCTCGGAAAGGACGTTATGGACAAGTTCGGCTTAGTCGTTGAGAAAGAGGTAAGAATATCGAAATTTAGAAAGAATCAAGAAATCACAATATCGTTCACATTTTTCATTAAATCCGATTTCTAAATGGTCTTAGTAAGATTTCCTCGTAATTTTAAAAGAATCTATCAAACGACATCGAAATGAATTATATAACCATTTCACAGCTAGATAATTGAACTTGTGTCACCTCGCGATGCTCTACTTAACAGTTGCAAATGACTGATTTGTTTCAGGGTTACTGGGACGGATACGATCCAGAAGTGAACCCTGACGTCATCGCATCGTTCGCCTCAGCTGCTTACCGATTCGGACACTCTTTGCTACCAACTGCTGTTGAAAGATGGTCCAAAGCACACAAATTCATCGGTACGTAAGGTTTTCTTACTTATTACCTGTTCGCGGATTTTTAGTAAATGTTAGATTAGACCTTCAACTTTATGTTACTATCTACTTTATAAAAGCATGACATAAGGCATATATTTGACCACTGTTTTATTTTTATCCTTACAGCATCAAAGAGATTGTCCGACCTCATTCGTAGACCATACGATTTGTACAGAGCTGGTGTCCTCGACGAATACGTTATGGGTCTCATGAACCAGGTAGCCCAAGCTATGGACGATTCTATCACACAAGAAGTTACAAACCATCTCTTCAAGAAGGTTGGCGCTCGATTCGGAATGGACTTGGTGTCATTCAACATGCAGAGAGGTCGTGAATTCGGTATTCCCGGATACATGGAGTTCAGAAAGTTCTGCGGTCTCCCTCCTGCCGATACCTTCCAGGATCTGTTCGGTTCTATGCCTAACGCCACTGTTCAGAAATACGAGACAATCTTCGACCATCCTATTGATGTGGATCTCTGGTCTGGTGGTGTATCTGAGCGTCCTCTGCCCGGTTCTATGTTGGGGCCCACTTTTGCTTGTATTATTGCTACTCAGTTCTCATACTCAAGACGTGGTGACAGATTCTGGTGAGTTTAACTTAATTTGTGAAGTTACTTATCTTCTTCAGGCTCTAGAATATTTTTACATTTATATCTTCTATCGCAGGTACGAACTTCCCAACCAGCCATCATCGTTCACACCAGAACAACTGAAGGAAATCAGGAAAGCGCGAATGGCGCGTATCATTTGTGACAACACAGACATCATTGACACGGTCCAACTCTACCCTATGGTCTTGCCTGACCATGAATTGTACGTACTTTTATATTATTCTTTTTGTGACAAGAAAACGTGTTTATAGTAGATACTATAATTACTTATTTCTATTTTACAGGAATCCTCGTGTACCCTGCAGAAGTGGTATCATTCCCATGATGGACTTCAGTAAATGGGCTGAGCCCGCGCCGTCGCCCTTCCACGGTGCCGCGAAACAATTCGTGAGTAGCTTCTCATATGACCCATACTTGGGCAAGAAGTAGTCGCAAGCACTTTAGAAGTAGAATACTCACCTAGTGTAATGTTATAGTCAACTGTGTAGCTCTACGTTGTTCAAGCCAAGTAACCTTTGATAAAAGACTACCTACCTTTATATCCTTCCCATCCATGATCCCTATCAAAACTAGACGAAAGTACAAAGGCTATTGAAAAAGTATCTTGAACGGATCAATTATTTATTTGGCTCCATATTTTAATCACACTCAAGATTAAATGTTGTAAAGATTACTTAGCTTGAACTGTAACGGACCATTTTTTTGTATTGTTCTCACGTCTCGGTCGTTGCTGTACCTATGTCATGTAGAGGTCTAAGTTATACTATATCTTAGATGGTTATAGTGTATTGTACCAACGTAGAATATGCACAGAGCACAACGATAGCTTCGGTTAGACAACTGCCAATGTAAAAATGTCTGATAAAATAAAAGTTGTCTCACTCAATCTATCGGGAAGTACTATCAAGTCAACCTTAATGTAATGTTATTACATTTGGCGGCCACCATTCTAATAAATGGTTTACTAACGTCAAATGTGTCAAAATCACATCAAAGTGCAATGAATCGATCAAGCATGTTAGAGTTAGTAAGAAAGCTATTTATAAATAGAATAAGATCTTTGTACAAAAACGAATTATGGCTTAGTCGAAGCTAATATGCTTTTTATTGCCATATAATTAAGTTTACTTACGATTGAAAATACCTATCACGTTTTGTGTTGTAGTTATTATGCACCTGTAGTATTTAGTATTAGAAGTTTGTTTCATATTTATACAAAAGTCATATTATCACCCTTCCAGTACCTACTCATGAAAATTACACCGTAGTTAGTAAGTGATACAGCCTAAAAGTATGAAAGTAGATACTTTATGCATGCTTAGTAGTATTTGAAATGTTTGTTTTTTCATTAGCAATCCTTTTTATGTAGTTCTAATAAACGTTTTCATTAATGAGACCACTAATGGGTGCCCAACAATCTGATCACTTTATCTATAAAAATAAATAATATCGCGATAACAGTTACTCCCTAATGAATAACTTTGCCAAGTACCTAATTTATTTGCGTAGACTTAAAACTACACTAGCGCCTCTGCCTCTAAGGATGCAAATAATCTTAGTTTCAATATGCAGGCGCTCATATTAATGTTGTTTTTATACTTCTTATTCATTTAGTACCTATCGCTAATCAGATAAATGGCAAATAAATGATCCTACTCAATAAACCTTTATGCGAGATAATTTATACTTTTGAAATCTTTCTGAATATTATAATGAATGTCAATACCCTATATCTCTATGCACCTACTGTAAATGTATGTACCTACCTGAACAGTTTTGTTATTTTTTTATTTATTTTTAGTTGAAGTTATTGTATAATTTGTAATGATGCATGGTTAAGTAGAAGTACGTAGATTTGTGTAAATACAAGTATGTTGTAATAAATGTTAGCATTATAAGCACTGGTTTTATTGAACACCACCCTTGTTTTGTAATGGATTCTTGTAAGTACTAAGACACTTTAGATGCTCAAGCGAAACGGTAAGTAGACGCTCTTGAAATCGATGCACTTTCTTATATGACTGTATCTTGTTTGACTATTACAATTAGTAAGAAAATATTAATCGATTATATGAATTTCTCTCCTCAGATGACGAACGCAACTATTTTTGAAACTAACAGCACGAGTCACGATCAAATAAAAACAGAAAAATGTAACTTAACCGCAAATAGCACAGATAAGGAAGTACAAAATTGCGCCCTTATTACTTTACAAGCACAAATTAACCACTGTTCTAATAATAACAGTAGCAACAGTACTGATTGTGAAAGTATAACCGCGCCACAAAGTAAATCGAATGAAACTGAAGTAGTTAATACCGACACCATATTAAAATATGTATATAAAAAGGGAGATAAAGCCGAAATACCCATAAAAGATAAAGCTTATTTCAAAAACAGCTTACGACGAAAACGATCCCCTGTTGAAGTACATAACAGAAGCCCACTTCCCAGTAAATTTCAAAAACCTGTAGTGGTGAATTACGAAACATCACATGGACCTGGACAAGCTCAACCTTTGGCGCCTCTAAGATTTACAGGAAACAATGCTTTAGGTGCTAACTTTAAAATTGAAACCCTTCATGATAATATTGACGCAAAGAAAGAGGAAGATATAGCGCGTAAACTAAAAATAGATTCAGCTGAAATAGTAAACCCCAATAGACTAGGAAACGATTATAAACAAAATGATGATAAAGGAAAAACTATTGAAAATGACTCCAGTAATGATAGTAGTGATAGTAGTGATGAAAGAGGTGATTTTAAGAACAGACAACCTCAAAATGATGACGTAAATAGTGTAGAACGTGATGACTACCAAAAACAAAATCCTCAAGGAAGCCAAGAGAGCGCTGAAAGCGACGATTATAAAGAACCAAAAACTGATAGTGAGAGAACCTACAGCGCTGAACGCACAAATTACGATAAAAAATCTAGCCAAGAATCTGACAATAGTTCTGAGCACGAAGACTATAAAAATAAACAATCTAGTGCCGAAGGAGACAATAGCGGGGAACGAAGTACTTATAAAGACATTCCGTCTAACCGAGAAAGAGAGGAAAGTAATGAACGTGCCCACTATAAAAAAAATGAATTTAGTAACAAGCGTGGAGATAGCGGTGAAGACAATAGTAGTGCTGAAAGTTCTGAAAGCAATCCTAGGACTAATGCAAGATATTCTTCCCGAAGCAAAAACAGTAATGAGAACTCCGGAAGCAATGAAAGTAAAAATTCGGAATCAAGTAGCGCTGAAAGTCAGGAGAGTGTAGAAAGAGGCGATAGTAATAAGAAGAAAAACGAGCAGTATAATCATGATAGCTCATCATATGAAACTCCACATCAAGATAATGCAAAATACAAGAAACCTGAATCCAGTGCACCTAAATATTTAGAATCCTCTTCAAATGAAAGCAGTGACGAAAGTAGGGAGGTCAAAAAAGAAGACGAAAATTTAAATGTTGATAAAAAGGATAATGTAAAAGGTTCACCCATTCCCTTACGAGATATTGACTTAAGTGATTTTAGTTATGAACGAATACAAGTAGATGGTAGTGGAAAAGTTCAACCACAAAAAGATACCTTTGAACCAGCCAATCCAAAAACTGCTGTAGAAATATTGCCACTTACAACAGCTACACCTAACTTCGACAGCAAAGACCATAGATCTTTGAATTCTATAACAGATTACACTGCTATTGCAAAACCCAAAAACAGTAAGAATGACAACAAACTTATTCAAATTGACGATGTTGAAGTAAAACCTGTTGTTGAAATTAATCCTGAAAATGACAACGATTCAAGTGAAGAAAGTAAAAAATCGAATGTAAGTGAAGAAGTGGAAAGTTTAGAATCGATATTAGGGGTTAAGGAACCTGAAAATGATGATAGTCAAAACGATAAATTAATCGAACAGAAAGTCCAAGATGAAGACGTAAAACAAGAATTTGAACGGATCCCCTTAAATTATAACCACGCTCAGAAAAACGAGAAAAAGGAACATCCAGTGTCTGAATCCCCTAAAGAAGACCCAAAAGTACCACAAGAAGAAGGAACTCTAGATGCCTTTGCACCTGAAGATGTCAAATATGACGAACATTTAAATATTAAGTTTGATGATTTGGCCATAAAATTACCTGAAATAAAATTGCCAGATGATATTTTATCTTACTCGAGACAAAATTCTCCGTACAGTGATGACGACTATAAAAAGCAAACTAAAGCAGATGTGCCAAGTTATAAACCTAGTTATTATTATAATCAGAATGACAAAGAAGAAACACGTGAACGTAAAGATAAAAATGACCATCGCAATTCAGACGATGAAAGTGATGACGATGATGATCACGCACCTGACACTGGATATTATGGATACTATGACAACAGTAAGAGAAAACAAAATTATAAAAATAAAAATGCTGACGAAGAAGAAGAAAGTGACGAAGGAGAAGAAAATGAAGACTTGTATGAAAAATTCGTACGGGAAAGGTTTGGAAAACGAGGCACTTTTGAAAAAAGGTCTGAAAAATTACAACAGGCAGCACCACTAAACCCAGATTTATACAAAACTATTAAACAAATTCTTAAAAAGACTGCAGATATAGATGAACAAGCTAAAAAGAGCGGAGATCCAAATGCAGGTTATATGTGGACCTTAGAGTATGGTGAGAAGTTGTAGAGTAAGATTTAAACACATGGTTTTGAGATGCCAGATCATGAGATTTGCATAAATAAATAAACCATTTTTTACTGAAGTAATGTAAAACTTTGATCAATGCATTAAAATAAGAAAACATCGTGTATTACTAGACAGGCTAGACTGTGATAGGCTGATAGGTTTAAGTTAGTTTTATAAATGCCTACATAAATAAAATTATTAGAAAAAAATCTCATTTAGTAAAGCTTCTACGCACAATATCTTTTGGTATGTTAATTTCTTACTCACGCGCTTAAATGGTGTTATATTTCTACAATGTCTCAAAAAATTACATCTTGCTTTCAGTGTAAATCGTTATTATTACATCTATGGTGTAAATCGAGTGTTTCATAGTCCTTCAGCTAATTTTGACTGTAACCTAAAACGAAGGGTACAGGACAAGACAAGGATACAATGAACTTGCTTGAATTGTTATTATGTAGCTATAAATAATTAGGATCTCATGTAAAAAATGCTGTAATATACAGTAGGTACGTATACATCAAGTAGTAAATAATTTATATGAAGCTAATTCTAAATAAAATATTTAAATACACTGCTGTTGTTTCTATTTATTATAGCCGTCGTCGCCCTACGTGTTGTAGATGTGATTCATTTCTATACGGGTCTCTTACTATTATTAACTATAGAAAAGCGTACATAATTTGTACTTACTACCTATGTCCACGTCTGCCTAGTCCTATGGTATTACGTAAACTACCCTTTATATTATAACCTTTGTACCTATCTGTTTGTTTGTTTGAACGCGCTAATCTCCGTAACTACAAATCTGATATTGATAATTTTTTTTGATTCGGATAGCGCATTTATCGAGGATGACTATAGGCTATAAAACATCACGCTACGTCCAATAGGAGCTGAGCAGAGCGTGTGAAACCGCGCGGAAGTAGCTAGTGTAGTATAAGGGTAAAGCTTTTCTGTATAAGGATACAATTTTAGTATTTACTCTGAAAGTTAAGACAGCTATAAATGAAATATGTTATAATGATTTTATTTTTTTGTTTCTTTTACAATTTTTTGTAACACAACTTACTGTTGTGTTGCTATTGTTTCTAAAAATTTTGAATAATTAAACGCAAAAGTAAGTACGTTTTGTGTTATCTGTAAAGTGTAATCCGTAGCTGTCACTGTCAAAAACATAACCTCAATTTGCTCCACTAAAATTCTGTGAAGCAATCGTGATTTGGAAAAACAGTATTATAAGAATAATAAAGAAAATTTTATCTATTTACTGCGCACTAAATTAAAATTTCCGTCACAATGGCTGAAGAAATCCAAAAAAAGATGCAGAAAGAATTGGAAGTTTTGGGTAGTATACAGAAAGAGTTCCGTAAGGCGGTCGCCCAGAAGCAACAATTAGATAGCCAGTTAAATGAAAACAAGGCTGTAAAAGAGGAATTACTGCTTTTAAAGAAAGATGCTGAGGTATACAAATTGATTGGACCCGTTTTAGTGAAGCAAGATTTAGAAGAGGCTACTCAAAATGTAACGAAACGAATGGAGTACATCAGTAAAGAGATTAAAAGAGCAGACGACCATATATCCGCTTTAGAAAACAAGCAAGAAGCCTTACAAGAAAACTTAACAAAGCTTAAGACCAATCTTAATAAAATAAAAGCGAAGGCTTGAGAAAAGTTCTTCTAACACCAGGATAACGCTTCAGTTTGCAATTAATATTTACTTTTGCATTATGTGTATGTAATTAATTATACTTTTAACAACATATTAGCTGTTTTAATTATTGAGTAGCAGTCCTAGTTAGTATAAGTTGTATTATATAGTATAAACCATAATTATGCCTATCACCAAATCCGTGATAAATAGGGACAACTGACCATAAAAAGTAATGAAACATGATGCAGGAAGTTAACATTGTTATGAATGTTGAGATGAGGTAAATTCTACTACAGTCAAAAGATGTATCGTCATTGGATGGAGAAATAGAGGAATAATTTCACTACCTCAGTCAGTTGCGATACATTCTATAATAAACTGAAATTTAATACATACCAGTACATAGTAGTGTGTATTGGAATGCCTTTATGTGGAAAAGTGTAATGAAAAGGTGAAATTTTAAATCCCATGCGATCATCTGTTGATACTGTAATGCATTGGATTTTACAGCTCAAATCTATGCTGTTAGAAAAATTAAAAAATTGAAAAGTCCAATAAAAGTTAATACTTTGTCTAATTCAGGAATTGTACCAAACATTTGCTGGTTGATAATAGTGCTGGTGATCAACAAGACTTGCCCATAGGTGGTGCTGATCGCTTACCATCAGGTGATGCATCTGCTCGTTTGCCTCCTATTCCAAAAAATAAGACAGAAGTGAAGGTGTATTGAATTAAAACTCAAAGTGTTGTAAAGACTTTATTATGTATATCATCCAAAAATAATACCGATGGCACTTTATTCCTGTTGCACCCAATAAAATACTAAATATAAATATATTTCTACCTTCATAATGTTTATACTCTAAAAATATATGTTTTGTATTGACCATGGACCACACATTTTTGTTTCCCTCTATCACATTTATAGGACTAAATTACACTCAGTTTTAACTTATAAAAAATACTCCAAAAACTTTTTAACTCAATGAAATAACATGAAAATAAATTATTTATGAAAATACATGTCATCCTAAATTACAAGTATTTAAAATATCTCAAAATAAAACTTAAGATAAAAATAGCAACACACTGTAAATAAGCAACTGGAATGCTTGAACAAAACTATATCTGTAACCTCCTACTTAAATTGGTCCCGAAATAAGGAACTTCGATGTACAAATCACAATATATTGTGAATATATAAAGTCTTTTGGAAATTTCTATTACTCCATATTGAGTAGAGAGACTAATAATGCATTAGTACCTTAAATTTTTTCTTACTCTTATACTCTTACTCTTAACTAGTAGTGTACTTATCAAAAATATGTCATATAAAAATATTACATATTATAATGGCATTTATAAAAATACAATTTAATTTATTACTTGCTACCACAAAAACAGTCTTCCTGACGTATTATTTTCTCTTTACTTAATTCTGCTCTGAACACATGCCACGCTACAAAACGGCATTTCTTGTTTGACGACGAATCGTCCGCTCAGTAAGCTTTTACCGCACATCCGACCTGAACACATGAAGCAGTCGGCGTGCCAGTGCATGTTGCCCCAGGACACACCTTGCTGCTCAGGCCCTATAACTCCACTGCAGGCGCGACAACGTTCAGCGTAAAACTGATCGTAACATTGTAAACATATCGGAAGCCCAGTCTTATCATCGGGGACGTACTTTTTACCACCGAGCGGGGCATCGCAGTGATAGCAACAGAAATGTTGCACATGGAACGCCCTTCCTTCCGCCGCTGTATACGGACGCGTGAATATCAGCTCGTCGCATCCGGCGCAACGCGGGATTTCCAAAACATCAGCCAAATCTCTGGCGCAATAAATCTCACCTTTGTAGAAGAAGTATACAAGGTCAGCCAGCAACTCGTTACATTTGCTGCATGTGAAACATTGTGGATGCCAAATGGCTTCATGACCTGCCCTCTCGGCTTTGACTGCAACTTCGCCAGCGAACATCGACTTATTACAACGTTGGCAAGGCACTCCTTCATTATAAAGCTTCCTGTTAAATTCTACTTCAGCTGGACTGAGCGATAAATCTGCGAGCTGATCAATGACTTGATCCGTACCTTCGGCGTAATTTTGCGGCAGAGGTAAGTAGTCAGCACTATCACCAATAGGGTGAACATTATCAACTGGCTGGTTATTCCAATCTGTTCCGGCAGTTGGTGGTACAGCGCCTGGATATGTGCTGTAGTTCGGCAATGGTGGAGGTGGAAGGTCATCTTCAGAGTGACTTCTGAGATATTCTCTTAACGGCGCAGTCTGTTGTGGTTCCACCTGATTTATCGGCTTAGTAACAGTCGAGTACTGAGGATTGATTTTCGTGGAACAAAGAGTGCCACTGTGTTCAGGAGTGACTGGCTCATGTTTCCAGCTCCATATCTCTCCGTTTGGAGCGAAAATGGTACCTTTTTGAATCCTACTATCCAAGAGTTTGGCTGTACCCATAATATTATTGTTGCTGTTGGACCACAAGTCTGGCATAATTTGAGCTCCAAGGGACTTACTGGAAAACTCAGTTGTTTCGTCTTTAAATTGAGGATTATTGTTGTACTCCTCTCTGAATAGCTTGATTGGTTGTAGATACACGTCATTAGTGACAGGCATATTCAAGTCCTCTAAGTTTTTGAACAGTTTATCGTAGACGGGGCCATGTTCTACCGCGCTCTTAATTCTATCTGATTCGATGCGCATGATATGCAGTTTGTCTTTCACGATGCGACTCAATATGGGACTGGATTTGTAGTCTGGGAGATTGGCAGCACTGCTGACGACATTTCCTTGTGTATCTAAGACCAACTTCTTATCAGACGCATTCTTAGGAACGATGTTGTATTTGACTCCCCTGGATACGTTGGATATTTTGAGGGGAAGAGCGTAAGATTTAGTCGCGCCATGTACTTTGCTGTTCTCAACAGAGTAGATTTCGCCGTTTTGTAGAGGGCCTACCCTGACGACATTGCCCATACCGACGACATGGTCCTTAATGCGCGTGATGTATTCCTGGAAAATATATGAAGTAATACTTAGTAGTAATTTAGGTTATGCACATAATTTTCTATTTAAAGGATGTGTAAGGCGCGCTATCTCGTGTTATCGGCGGCCTGAGGCAAACTGACCTAATTTTAATGACGCAATTCTCTATCCAACAATCTATGTAGACAGTTAATTGGTAAACGAATTCAGGATATAAAAACACAGAGTTACACACAGCTATACTGTAAAGTAATATGAATATAAGTGTAATTTAACTTTAAAACACTACTCACAGTATGTTCTGACTTCTCAAAGTCGGATGCGTGTTGTCGTACGGCAGGCGCGACATCGTGCGGCGGTAGCTGTGTCCTGAGCTGAGCACGTCGTTTACGAGCCGCCTCCGAACCGGACACCGGGGCCAGGTTGCCCAGACATGACATGTACTCTGATACCTAGAACATAAGGTTGAAATTAGCATAAACATTCATTGCACATGTAAATTGGATAGATTAACGCAATAATAAATTAGTGATAGGCAAAGGTAACAATATCATCATCATAGGTATAAACCTATTTTTATCAGTTATTTTATTATTCTACACCCCTTATACTAGATAGTGAACCTACTGGCAAATGTTAGGTATTCTAAATTCCATATTGTTTCTTAGAGGATCAAAATAACCTGAAACTACAACCCAATCCTCTAAAGTTTCGACCGAGTGCAAATAATGGCTTATTGAGCCTGGATATGTCACAAATATTATAGTACATTCATAATATCGTAACAAATCAGCATGTTACTGACATTGAATTTTAATTCCGTAGATTAAACTTAATAACTTGTAATTATTAAAGTTAATAACTTGTTACTAATTTAAATCAGTATCAAATAAAATTACGGGGAAACCTAAGCTAAATCTTATCAAGTGATCATTTATTATTGTACACAAAGCATAACATTCTACAATCGTGATTAATAGAAGCAATTACTTTGCATAAATTAATAGGTAATAATTATCGTTATTTATTTATTACATTATCACTAGGTATCTAAGTTGTTATAATTATTATTGTTGCTGCTTACCAACTCAGTTGACGCATTTGGAGGCACCCAGTCTAGTTTCACAGGTTTGTCAGTAACTCCACGAATTTTAATCAGGGGCACTGAAATAATAAAATAAACATATAAACTATGCACTATTGGGTAGATTTAAAAACTGGTTTCAGACATCGTCATTATAATTTTAGCCCAAGGACACTTATGCTAGGTATGGGATACTCTGATTTCAGAAAACCTATGAAATCAATAAGTCACTAAAATTCTCGATCGGACACAAAGGAGAAAATATTCCTGAAGATAAGGGACACTTAAGGAACATGATTAACTGTTAAGTGGACTATCCTATCAGAAAACAAATGAAAACATCTTATAAACACAACTAATTGTATCATTCAATAGCCTTAAAGATATTTATTTATTTATTTTAAAGCTTCATGCACAAAATGTACATAAGGTGGACTTAATGCCGCAGGCATTTTCTCCCAGTCTGACTACTAGGCTACTATCAGCTAGAAAACTTCTAAGTATTGCAATCAGTAATTTTAAACTATGCTTATTTTATTTCCCATTAGAATTGTTAAGGAGTGGAATTATTTGCCTAAATCTGTGTTTACACAAGGGTATAAACCAGAATATCTTCAAGGGTTTCAGCCTACAATGACGTCTGTGTCAATGCTTACCACCTGACAAGATAGTGGCTAAGCTGTGGGTTAACCATTGCAAATAAATAAAAATAAATCTATAAACACTCACTTGAAGCCTTCTTAGGTCTAGCAGTACCCAGTAGCTCAAACTGTGCCCAGCCTGATAGGTCATCATCTTGAACATCATGAACATCCTTACTGCAGTGACATGAACGGCAGACCTTCCTCCAGAAGTGCAGGTCCAGACCAGGGCATGATGGTCCTGGATAAAATAATTAAACATAGGATCTAGTAGACATCAAAGCAGAAATATTTGGATAAGCTTCAGGTTTAATGAACCTGTGGGAAAATTCTTTTGCTATTGGCAAGTAACTTTTCAGATAATAACATTTTTTTATCCCTTAAGTCCTTATAGGGGTTAAAGAAGACTAAGTATTAGTAAGAACTTGACGGTAAAAAACTACATACATAGTTTAAATAAAAATACAATTAAAAACTTACACAGGAAGCTTGAACTATTGTTTGATATCATTTAAATTGAGGATTTTCAATTCAGAGATACTCCCAATGTGGGTGTACATGCATAGAGGTATGATATCAGCTGCCTATATTTATCCTAATTTATTTAGGGTTACCACCTTGCATCTTATAGCCAATTTATATGAAGTGATCTAACTATTATACATAAATGTATAGATATCTATATGTATATCAATAGGAACAAAATCGCAGCCACTTCTCTGAAGTAACATAACATTACATCACACCTTTTATCCCCGAAGGAGTAGGCAGAGGTGCACATTATGCCACTGTACAATGTAACACCCACTTTTTATATTATTTATGTTATGAGTCCCATGTAATAGGGGGTGAGCCTATTGCCATATACCTGGCACAATTCCAGACTCCATGCTACTACCGAGAATTTAAAAAAAACCAGTAATACTTTGCCCGACCCGGGAATCGAACCTGAGACCCCTTACCCGGCAGTTGCATTTGGGACCACCCGGCCAACGAGGCAGTCACTTCTCTGAAGTGTTTTGGTATTTAGGGGAACTTTACATACAAATTGGAATTAACTAATATGATACAATTTAGAAGTTACTTATGATACTTCCTCATTAATTTATAGTTTAAGTGATTCACTAAGGAATTATTTTATTACCAATAAATATAGAAATATTTTCTAGAATATCTACAATACAATGACAACATCAATGCAGATGATGTTAAATAACATTATTTTATATGTATGTAAATTATCATTAATTTTATCTCTTTGCTCTTTTAGATCTTGTTTTATTTTATCCTATTTCTCTTTTTGATATATATATTTGTTGTTACATCTACTTATTATTATTTTTTATTTATTTTTTCATCTCTTTTTCTCCTTGGCTAAATTGTAATTTTTACCCGAGCGAAGTATTGTGTTGTGAGATAGTCGTAGATTACTTATATCTTTAAATTATAACACGCAACCGGCAGGTGGACCTGAGTGATACTTACACATACGTACCACTTTATACATTTTTTTTTTTTTTTTTATTTTATTTTCTATTATTTATTTTAGATCTATATTTATTTTAATATATTTTATCACTTATAATATTTTATTAAATAATACTAAATGATGAATGGCTACATGCAGAGTATCGATGAAAGTTTTACTTCTGCGAATACTGATAATGACAGCTTTACAAGTTTACCATCTCTTGCTGATACACTTGAGTCCCGGTTCTCCGATGTACCGAAAAATCTTAATGTAGTCCATATAAATGCACAGAGTATTCCAGCTCATTACCACGATATGCTGGCGAACCTTGACTGTAAGAATATTCATGCTATCCTTGTCTCTGAATCTTGGCTAAAACCTTGTCTCCCTTCTACTTCCTACTCTCTACCTGGATACCAGTTGATAAGAAATGATCGCACGGGCTGCGGCGGTGGCGGGGTTGCCATATATCTTCGAGCAAATATTTCCTTTAAAATAATTGATATGTCACCACAGCCTCCGCCGCGGAACGCTGGCGAGCATCTCTTCTTGGAACTAACACTGTGCAATTCCAGAGTATTGCTCGGTGTCTATTATTGTCCTTCACTACGTGTTGACTATTTTTCCTCTTTTGAAAATTTACTTCTGAACTTAACTCCCTCTTACAGTCACAGCATAATAATGGGTGACTTTAACACCTGTCTTCTGAAACAAGATTCCCGCTCCTCCTCACTTCAATCCATTGCTCAATCACTCAACTTGTCTCTTCTTCCCTTGGGTGCCACTCACCACTTTCCTAACTGTTCACCTTCTCTTCTTGATCTTATCCTTGTCTCGTCCGATCAACATGTTGTCAAGCACGGACAATGTTCTGCTGACAATTTTTCCTATCATGACTTAATCTTTCTTTCGTACAAAATCTGTCCACCTAAATCTAAACCCAAAACTCTCTTTCAGCGCAATTTTAGTGGTATGGACCATGATAAGCTTCGTGAGGATGCCGGCAACATTGACTGGTCTAAGCTCCTTGCCGCTGACGCAATTGATGAGAAGATTAATGTCTTTAACAGCAAGCTCATTCAGTTGTATGACATTCATGCTCCAATACGACCCGTTAAAATAAAGCATGTACCTGCACCGTGGTTGACGGATGACCTGAAGGTCGTGATTCATAAGAAGGCAGCGGCAAAGGCCAAATTTAAACGCCAACCTAATCCGGGGAACCGCGAAGAGTATATTGCAGCCCGGAATCGTAGCAACAAGATGTGTAGGGATGCACAACGCCGCCATATTCATAAGTCAGTGGAAAACGGCGATCCGGCCAAGGTCTGGACATTTCTAAAAACTATGGGAGTTGGCAAACAGCGTCAGGATGGTATTTCTGGGAGCTTGGATCTTGAATCCCTAAATAAGCACTTTTCTTCTTCACCTTACATTAATGGGTTTATCAAATCCAAAACCTTAAAACATCTTTCTTCCCTTCCTGCTCCCGACTATCCACCATTTTTCTTCAATCAATTCACAGCTTGTAGTGTTAGGAAGAGTATAATTTCCATCAGTTCCAATGCGGTAGGGACTGACTGCATCAGTCGCAAAATGATACTCCCTGTCTTGGATGAGATCCTTCCTGTCATCTGCCACATCCTTAACTATTCTTTGTCCAGCAGCGTCTTCCCTTCTGCATGGAAGGAAGCGCAGGTTACACCACTTCCTAAAAAACCTAATCCAGAATCCTTTTCCGACTATCGCCCTATTTCTATTTTACCCTTCCTTTCTAAAGTTCTGGAACGTCTTATTTATAACCAGCTAAGCGCTTTCCTTACCAAACACAGTCTCCTTAATCCTTACCAATCCGGGTTTCGTCCGGGACATAGTACCACTACGGCTTTGGTCCATATCACTGATGACATACGATCCGGTGTTGAAAACGGCAATCTAACTCTGCTCACCTTGCTAGACTTTAGCAATGCCTTCAACACCGTTGATTTTGATATACTGCTTGGAATATTGGGCTCTCTTAACATATCTCCAACTGTGATTGATTTCTTTCGCAGTTACCTGTTTGGCCGCCGGCAGCGTGTCGCCATTGAGGGTTCATACTCTTCCTGGGCTGATACGGCTGCTGGCGTACCGCAGGGGGGCGTTCTTTCTCCTCTACTCTTCGCAATTTTTATAAATTCCATTTCTAATGAACTTCTGTCTTCCTACCACTTGTATGCCGACGATCTGCAAATTTACTCACAAGCACCTCCTAATGAATTCTCCGAGGCAGTAAAGATGGTGAATACGGACTTGGCACGAATCTCGGAATGGAGTACAACCTATGGTTTGAAAGTTAACCCCGCGAAAACACAAGTCATTGTTGTCGGTAGCCCCCGCTTACGCTGTAAAATTATGTGGTCGCAGATCCCTTCAATTATTTTTAATGGTACCACAATCCCATACAGTGACACAGTAAAAGACTTGGGTATTGTCATGGACCGAGACTTCACTTGGGAACCTCAACTGAAACAAGTAAGTCGGAAAATGTTTGCGTCTGCGAGGTCTTTGCGTAGACTTCGGAACTTTCTTCCGACTGCTACTAAAATTGCGCTTACTCAATCACTTCTTCTTCCCATCCTCGATTATGCTGACGTCAGCTATCCAGATCTTACCGAAGTGCAGCTAGATAAACTTGAGCGACTCCAAAATTTTAGTATACGGTTTATATTTGGTTTACGCAAATATGATCATATTTCCGAATATCGTGCTAAACTCAAGTGGCTGCCGATCCGCCTTCGCCGGGATACTCATATCTTATCCTTACTCTACAGTATACTGTTTAATCCCACTACCCCCCACTATCTCAAAGAACGTTTCCAGTTCTACCATGACACACATTCTAGACCAGTACGGTCGTCGGAGGATATGAAGCTTGAGATGCCCCAGCATGCGAGTAGATCATTCGACAGATCTTTTACAGTACGAGCTGTTCGACTGTGGAATGCTCTGCCACTTTCTGTCAGACAAGCAGAGTCACTTGTTACATTCAAAGCACTCGTGAAAAACCATTATCTCGCCACGTTGTAGTCCATTACTATTTCTTTTTTGTTTTTTCTTTTCCTGTTCCTATTCATCATCTGTGCTATATTTTTATTTGTGTATATATATATATATATATATATAGTATATATATATGTTGTATGTATATATATTTATATGGATATGTTTGTATGTATAAGGTCTTATGTAAGTATTATATTTTATTTTAAATATACCGAGGGGTAACGGGCTATTTGGTTTAAGCGACATTTCTGCAACTTTACAGGAGAGCCTTTTAAAGTTTGAAATTTCGAAAAAAAATTCGTAACAAAAATGTTTCTGCAGTTATTTGAACGGGGTAAATTGCATTGAAATTTAAATTAAATTATCTAGTTGCTGATGCTAATTCTAAATAAAGCGGACCTTTAATTACAAAGATAAATGTCGCTTAATACAATCTGCCCTTTTTTAGAGTCAGGAAAAATGATTTAAGTGACTTCATAACTACAATTGGCTACAAGGGAAAAAAATTAAGCGACAATGCACTCTATTTACAGAGTCAGCTAAAAAATATGAAGTGACGAAACCCAAAATTAATAGAAGCAAGCTATTTATCTTAACTACCAATTCAGACTAAAATGAGTGACAGGCTAATTTACTTATGTGACATATAACATTGAAATTATAACGTTTAATGTTTATGTTTATTTACATCTAAGGCGATTAATGGCTGATAAAACAACCTGGATATATCGCAATCACCGAAAATCTCAGATGCTTACATTGAATAAATAAACACAACACAATATCAAAGTATTTATTTAGAGTAATAATTACAGTTTCAGTAGGAATATCGATTATATTTCAGCAAAATCAATTAAATTAATGGGTCATTTACTGAAATTGCCGTTTTGTATGAAAAAATTTAAACGATTTTTTCATGTATTTTCTATTTGTATAATCAACGTAATCACCCATGCAATCAATGCATCGTTGCCAACGCAGTGGCAGTTTATGGATGCCCTTCTTCAATCAGCTGGACGGGTAGCAACAAATTCTTCAAATGCATTTTGTACTGCCTCTCGGTTATTAAATTTTTTCCCGCCAAGAAGTTATCCAAATTCTGGAAAAAGAAGTAGTCTGGTGACTGGTGAGTAGGGTGGATGTCGGAGAGCTTCACAACCCCAGTTCTTGTAACGTGGAGGCCGTCTCTTGTGCAGCTTTAGGTCGCGCGTTGTAATGCAGGAGCAATGGAGATTAGCGATTGACCAATGCTGGTTGGAGATGTGTCAGCTTCTCCATCATTGTGTTCAGTTCTTCACACTACACATCTGTAGTAATGCTCACTCCGTTTGGTAAGAATTTGTGATGAATCAGAATAGCGCGAGCGCTAGACCATCAGTGACCATCACTTTTCTAGGGGTAAGTTTTCGTTTAGGGCATTGTTTAGGTGCTGAACTAGGATTCAACCAACATGCTAAACGCGTGTGGTTATCACACAGATTTCATTTTTCATCGGAGGTGACAATGCAAATCAAAATTCTTTCATTGTGTGTATATTGAGCAGTGCAGTGCAATGCACTACTCGATGCATTTTTTTAAGGGTGGAAAATCATCGAATGACTGCTCCCGCCTGGGTGAGGCGGGAAAGAGTGTCAGACTCTTACTGACTAAAAATCACCCCGTTTCTTCTCCTGCACATCGAGCCGTAGCCCCGGTTACCCGTTAGGTTCTCCGCGACTCTGAATCGGCATCGACCCTATTGGGCCCCATCTGTGGTGGTCTGATGGCTTTTTGAGGCGCGCGCGGAACGCGACGCCCCCCGTACGCTCGGGTCTGTTTCTGGTCGGACGGGGAGCCACTTATGCTCACCGTCCGCAGGCCCGCGCTTACGGTAACTGGAGATCGTCCCGCGATCCCCGACGCCAGGTGTGTCCTTCGCGATGGCTGGGTTGCGAGGAGCCAGCGCTTCGCTGCCTCACGCGTCCCGCCTCCTCCTTAGCTAGCATAACTGCTTCGCAAAACGAGGAGACGGCATCCCAGTCCCCCTCGCACTGCTCGATGCATACTTAGCTCTGTTGATCATTTAGTTTGTGGGACACCCACTTATCAAGCTTTTTTACCTTGCCAATTTGACGCAAATGTACCAATATTGTTTTGACGCTAACGTCGAAAGCTGTTGCTAAATCAGCCGTAGATTGTATGTCATCAACCTCCACAATAACCCTTAAATTGTCATTGTTGCCAAAGTCTTCGAACGACCGCGAGGTTCATCTTGAAATTAAAGTACTTAGGATTCAATTTCGATGAGCGTTTTACGTAAACACTGGCGGTGTGCGCGCGTCCCGTCTGTCTTCGGCGCACTCTGGAGTGACTGAAGCGCCAGCGCACGATAGTCCAGTTGGATGATAACGATTTTTAACACCAGGGCGATGAAATAAATATGGTATCATATGACATGATTGAAATGTACCATATTAAAACTTAGTGATTGAAAGACCGACTCGTATTTCTATGAATACTGGAAAAATGTTTCAATATTCATTATCAATGTTATCGTCTGTATAAAACGACATGCATTAAAAAAAAATTGAGGGTTAAATGGTTTATGACTAAACAAAATATCTGAACGAAAACAACTATTTGGTTTAAGTAGCACCCTGCGTAGAAAATAGAGGCAGCTAGAAATGTTTAAGAGACGTACCATGACGCATTTGGATGACGGACAAATGTTTTAAGCGACATCACACCGTGTGATTTGTGGGAAGTTAAAATGATTCAAGTTACTTGTTAATAAAAATTAGAAACAAGAAAAACGCTTTAACTCATATTGACTTAATAATTAGAGATAGGGTGACTGGTTTATGTCTCGGTTATTAATATGATGGTATGGTTCAAGTACATAATTTAATAAAAAATGCGAAATCCATGTCGTTTAATACACTGCCACTTTGGAAACAACATGAAAATAGAATTGTTTGAAACGCCAAAAAAGTGCTCCGATTTTAATGAAACCGGCATCATTCGACGGAGAAAAATTCGCTGATTCCGAATATATATATAACTCAATATCGCCCAAAATGTCGCTTAAACCAAATAGCCCGTTACCCCTCGATACTATTTATTTAGAGAATATATATTTTACTTGTACATATAATTTATAAGTACCTGAGTACACCAAGAACAACCTCCACTTTCATCGAACAATGCTCCATTCACCCAAAGGTTGCCTGGTAGAGATCGCTATTAGTGATAAGGCCGCCTTTGTACCCTACTATTTTTTTTTATTATAACGCTAATGTATATTCCATTTATTTAAGGTGTACAATAAAGGTTATTATTATTATGTATGTCTTTACCATTCACGGGACCACAGGGTCCCGGTCATTTGGGAGGCGTACGAGGGGCCGAAGCCAACTGCGCAGAGGCCCTTTAGACAACTTTAATATAAATGTAATGGACACACAAACCGGCGACTATCCCTGTATGCACTATGGAAATGCATCCAAGGACAGTCCCCGGTTAGTGTAGAACTATTGTGAATAATGGAAAAAAAAGGTAGGGCTATGGATGGGTTGCTGTGGACTGGTAAATTGGGAACTATGGATGACTATGGCACCTGCCGAAACAATGTAATTTTTACACGTAAAAATGGCAGGCGGAGACTCGCCAACTCACCGACCGGGCCCCGGGAATGGTTGCTAGATATAGCAACAGAGGGGCAACGAGAATGTGAGTGGCTGAAGGGTTAAGAAACTACCACCGCTTTCTACTCAGATCATCTGCTCCAGCCGAAGCCTCCTGCATCCCTGGCCCACTCGCGACTTACGAATAGTTTCTTACCCTCCGAGCAGGATCACTGCTCTCGCGACTCCACTCTGGACGGCCAATGAAGGCAAGCCAGAGGTGGGAGACCTGTTCCTTGTCATCGTTCACTCCAGCCAGCCAATTAAGGCAAGCCGGAGAAGAAGGAACGGTGACTTCTCCCTGGAGCACTCGGGATGATGGTAGCCCGCGGGATCGCTAATGCCCGTCACCTCGCCTCAAGGTGCCCTGCGGGCTTATTATTATTATTATTATGTATGTCTTTACCATTCACGGGACCACAGGGTCCCGGTCATTTGGGAGGCGTACGAGGGGCCGAAGCCAACTGCGCAGAGGCCCTTTAGACAACTATAATATAAATGTAATGGACACACAAACCGGCGACTATCCCTGTATGCACTATGGAAATGCACCCAAGGACAATCCCCGGTTAGTGTAGGACTATTGTGAATAATGGAAAAAAAGGTAGGGCTATGGATGGGTTGCTGTGGACTGGTAAATTGGGAACTATGGATGACTATGACACCTGCCGAAACAATGTAATTTTTACACGTAAAAATGGCAGGCGGAGACTCGCCAACTCACCGACCGGGCCCCGGGAATGGTTGCTAGATATAGCAACAGAGGGGCAACGAGAATGTAAGTGGCTGAAGGGTTAAGAAACTACCACCGCTTTCTACTCAGATCATCTGCTCCAGCCGAAGCCTCCTGCATCCCTGGCCCACTCGCGACTTACGAATAGTTTCTTACCCTCCGAGCAGGATCACTGCTCTCGCGACTCCACTCTGGACGGCCAATGAAGACAAGCCAGAGGTGGGAGACCTGTTCCTTGTCATCTTTCACTCCAGCCAGCCAATTAAGGCAAGCCGGAGAAGAAGGAACGGTGACTTCTCCCTGGAGCACTCGGGATGATGGTAGCCCGCGGGATCGCTAATGCCCGTCACCTCGCCTCAAGGTGCCCTGCGGGCTTATTATTATTATTATTATACAATATGACCAATAGCTGGTTATTTATAAAAGGAGATAAAACCTGCACTGGATGAATCAGTTAGGTTGTAAAATTATTAATGTAACTACAAAGGATATAATGAATTCCTTCTGTGAATTTGCATTATTTCTTAGAAATAATAACAATAATATTTAAGATTCATTCATAAATTTCCAAATGGAATCATGTACACAGCGCAAAAATGATTTATAAAGCGTTTGGACAAACCTATAACGAATAATGATAACGATTGCATTGTTATTAATGACGTCATGACGATTATAAGTAAATTTTGGATTTCTGGGTACAGGTTACTGATATCCACAGATTATTAGAATAAAATTAAAGAAAATCGTAAGTATTTTATAGCACTAATACATTAAGAGACAGTATAACTTGTGTAATTAAATAAACATGTTTTTATTTACCGCATGAGTTACAGGGTGCACCGGCGCCGCTATCGTGTCCAAGTCGAGCTTTACTTAATTTTTCTCTTTGACTTTCCAACTTAGATAGCCAAGCAGGTGCTTCTGGAGTTTCCACACACGACCCACTCATCTGGAAAAGTAATATTACACATTATCAATCACTTATCACAAAGTACAAAAGTTATTTCACTGTCGTAAACACAAAGTCAAACTTTTCAAATTACCTTTTTGTCTTGATTTTTAGACATTTTCAGTTTATTGATGTTTAGCCTTCTTCTACATTTAACAATGAATTATATAAAACTAAGCAATCAGAATTTAGAGGAAATGAGATAAATTAAAATAAAAAGTAGCAACGTCTGTACACCAGCGTTTTTATTTCTGCATAGATAAAAAAAAATGTTATGACATCATAAGATGATACGTTACGTAGTACATAGAAATTTTTCATTGCAAGGGAATGGACATATATAGAATTTGCTGATTTGATAATTTTACATGACTTTAACAACTATGAATCATCACAAACTAATTTAAATCAAATTTTATAATATTAACTTAAATTAATTGATAGTTAACTACTGCATGGTGATTTTTATCGTTATCTAAAAAGGTAAATTAAAATCTTTTGGAAATGAGGTAATCAAATATTGATGAAAAATATTCAATTAACAACTGAAATCACTTATAGTTTTTAATTACTAATTAGGTATGACAAAATTAAGACTAATGTACACATAAGTGGTTCGGCTTGTAGTAAATGCATATAAATGAACGTAACATCATCCGTCAACTCAGTTACATTTTTAATCTGCATCCCTTCCGTAATGTCCCCCAAAGAGTATAATAAGTATAGGGGTAAAGAGTTGCCACTCGTCAAAAATTTATGCCAATCAATTTGAAACGCCATCTGAAAATTGAATCCTAGTATATTTTTTTTTTACTAATGTCTACAGATAATCCTAAGTATAGCTAATGCCAATACTACCAACAATGCACCTTGCAGGTTGGTACATTGAAGGTAGTATTGGAATTAGCTATGTCTGGTAGCTGCAAAATCAAAGAAGTTATTAATTACAATATTACATTTATTTTACAATAAATACAAATTAACATTTAAAAATTATCAGCTAGTAGGGAAATATCAGACGACAGATTTGTTCAAAGTATAATTCAAATTTTAGTTCTTTTTAATTTTATGTTTACAAATTTCAGATATAAATATGTCGTTCAAAATTTATTTGAATTAGTTATTTTTTTAATTATTGATCCCACAAAGAACTAAAATTAAAAATATTTACTGTTCACCGTTGTTTACACAGTACCTAACAGTAGTTAACAATCTAATAATATAAATAAACCGTAATACCTACACAAATGTAGTACATTTTACCATCGATTTGAATCGCTTACAGTATTTACAAAAACACAAAATTATTATACAATTTACATAACATAACATACATAACATCACGCCTTTTTATCCCCGAAGGGGTAGGCAGAGGTGCACATTTCGGCACTCAATGCCACTGTACAATGTAACACCCACTTTTCACTATTTATGTTATAAGTCCCATGTAATAGGGGGTGAGCCTATTGCCATATACCGGGCACATTTCCAGACTACTCTACTACTACTGAGATTTTTTAAAACCCAGTAATACTTTGCCCGACCCGGGTATCGAACCCGAGACCCCTTGCCCGGCAGTCGCACTTATTATTATAATGTCGAAAAATATAGTGCTTAAAAATAAGTCTCAGTCTGCCTCTCAGTCAGTCTCAGTTTTTTAGTACTTTGTTTTGCTAGTTGCTAATAAATGCCTGACTTAGTCGTTTCCTATATCTAGTTATATTACAGTCATTTTTACTAAACAACTACAGATTTTTCCTATCCTCAAATATAATATTTTTATAACATTATAATGAAACAAAGTAATATTATTATAAATACAAATGAAAATGAAACAGGCAAAATAATGTGGGAAATCCCAATTCAGACAGACTTCACAGTTGCCCACAACAGACCGGACATAATATACACAAACAAAACATCCAACACCACATACCTCTTTGACATAACTGTACCATGTAACTACAACATAGGAGCAAAAGAAATTCAGTAAATACCACTTTTTAAAGACACAACTCAAGGCTAGACGCCTTGAAATATTGAAACGCATGTTAATTCTATAGTAATTGGAGCCACAGGAGTAGGTACTAGCCAAAAGCCTCAGCAGATACACAGACAAACTAGAAACATAAATAGACATTAGCCACCATTCACACAATAATCATTCTTAGCAAAGTACTAGGAGACACAGTTTTCGTCACATACATTCCAGATTCCGATAATGCTGCCAGTCTTTTGGGCACCCTACTCCACGATAGCGATGAAAAATAATTTTTTGATGCCCTAAGGTAACATTTTTTTTAGATGTGAATATGTACCTATTTTATTTTATTTATAATTTAATATTACTTTGTTGTGCGTAGATACTTAAAATGTTGTTCTAATTATGATATATACATTAATACAAAGATAAAAATAGTTTTACAAAAATAATACGGCTTTAATATTTGCAGCGATCTATGGGTTTCTTGTTTCTTGAGACAATAATATACGTCTGAATGTTAGAATAATTCCAAATAGTACCTGAAAAAAAAAACAAAGATTATTTTTACATGCAGAAATATGTATTTAATTTATTTGTTTTCTTTTATTTATCTAAGGTAGGTGTACCTTACGTGATATTACTGATGTTACAAGAATAATATAGTATTTACCATCTCTAAAATAGGTTTCAAGCACTGCTGGTATAGATCGGCACTTTATCCGGACATCGTAAGACTCGTAACTGCCGATAAAAAATTGCACTATTGATATTCTGCAATGATGATGCTGAAGTAATATCGATGCAATAGCAATTCCAAATATCACTGTAACAAATATACAAAAGAAAAAGTAGAAATATATAAAAACTACATAGTTTGGTATCTCAATGAATCAAATAAAATGTATAAATAGGTTCAATAGCAAAAATCATAAACTTGTTGTAGGTTTTACCTTCAGCAACATGATTGTATTCTTCGTATTGATGTTCTTTATTATAAATGAGATATATACGCAAATTAAAGCGTTCCTTTGTAAAATCAAGTCCAATGAATAGACAAACAAACACAATGTACTTTTGTGATTTGTGATACACATGTATACAAAAGGTCCTTTATAGAAAACACAACACGCATCGCAGAACTTCCTTTTTTAGAAAAACAATCACAAAATCTCATGACAAATTATTAAATAATTTAAAATATTTTTGGCAAAATTTTTTACAATTTTGACATTTCAAATTTTTGTTTTTGTTTCTTTTCTTTATCAAGCAAAAAGTATACATATTATATGCCAGTATTAAAATAGTACAAACTACATGCATACTATTTTATAGAAATAAGGAGATAATATAAAAAAAGTATTTGATATCAATATCTAATTATTAACAATATTATTTTAATAGTTATGTATTATCTAAAAAATTGGGAAAATTATTATTGTAATGTTTTAATATTTTTTTAGCCCCCGTAAAAAATAATAATTTGACAATCCATATAGTACAAGAGGCTACGAACCCAGACCTTTGTTATTTATAACGGACTTAAAAAAAAGGAAAAGTTATATACCTATAAGGTTTTTTTATGTTCCTTCAGGGATGACTTCGTCGTTTTTTAACGTATTTTGATGATTCTTTTTTAACCGACTTTAAAAAAGGAGTATCAGTGTGACCTAAATGTATATACATATGTTACAGCCAAAGTGATTAATTTGATATTATTCGTAATGACTAGTAATTAATCAATTAATGACTAGCTATTATGAATAATATCTTCGAAAACTTGGATAAAGTAAATCAGCAAATGGAAATGAACAGGGCTAACGTCTGCACAAAATTTTGAATTTATCGTGGGTGTCGTTTTCATGGTTTTCGAGGGTGATAAAGCCGATGGTCCTGTCAAATTGTAAATCCAAGATGACGTGCGCACAAAATTTTTCAATTTATCGTCATGGGTGTCCTTTTCATGGTTTTCGAGGGTGATAAAACCGATGGTGTTGTCAAAATGTAAATCCAAGATGGCGTCTGCACAAAATTTTGAATATATCGTCATGGGTGTCGTTCTCATGGTTTTCGGGGGTGATAAAACCGATGGTGTTGTCAAAATGTAAATCCAAGATGGCGTCTGCGCAAAATTTTGAATGTATCGTAATGGGTATCGTTCTCATGGTTTTCGAGGGTGATAAAGCCGATGGTGCTGTCAAAATGCAAATCCAAGATGGCGGCTGTACGAAGTTTTCAATTTATCGTCATGGGTGTCGTTTTCATGGTTTTCGAGGGTGATAAAGCCGATGGTGTTGTCAAAATGTAAATCCAAGATGGCGTCTGCACAAAATTTTGAATTTATTGTCATGAGTATCGTCTTCATGGTTTTCGAGGGTGGTAACAAAGATGGTGCTGTCAAAATGCAAATCCAAGATGGCGGCTGCACGATATTTTCAATTTATCGTTATAGGTGTCGTTTTCATGGTTCTCGAGGGTGGTGAAAATGATGGTGCTGTCAAATTGTAAATCAGAGATGATGACTGAACGAAATAGAGTTAGTGCATTTATCGAGAAAGATTAAGTAGGTACGTGTGTGTGTGTGTGATAGAGAGACAGAAAGAATGCGTGCAACCTATTTTATAGATTTACTATTAAAATTCAGTATTTTCATATAATATTAGTTTTTATATAATAAAAACGGTGGCCTAAACCTGAGGTTCACAGGCTCTTAGGTTAATGCTTTTGGATGCAGAAACCTGACGCAGTCACTTCATAGAGTTTAGTTTGTCATCCATCACTTGACATTTCATCTTTTCAATCTCTATTATTAGTAAAGAGGCTGTCATCTTTGATCGATTATGCCAGCATAACTGTCATTTGATCTAAGTTTAAGGAATTATTTTGTAAAAAATGCAATATAGTATTAAATAAATGTGTATAATGTTATTTTACTATTTCCAAAAAATATTATTTTAAGCCTAAATTTTAAAATAATGTTGCAACCTTGCTTGGAACTGTGTGGCCACTGAAAATATTAGTTTTGACAACATTTAATTTCAGGTTCGAAAACTAGATGTAGTTGACGGTCCGATTTTTTAAGCTGTCAATGGCTCTAAGTGTGACGGCCCTGATGTCCCCATCCATCTTTCAATGCGTTTCCTATTCTAATTCGATGTAAAATTTTGAAAAACTTGCTTCTTCTATAAATAGTTTGTCAGTGCTTCAAATCTTTGTTGTTCAAACAGTATTTATAATTGAAAGGAAGTGACAAAATCTTTTTATACGGTAATATTAACTGATTGTTTTCAACATACGTTTCGGTTTTACAATGAGTCATAGGTTTGCCTTTATTTATCAATAATATTCTCTTCCATAGATGTCATCAGGAAGGCCGATCAAATGTGTGGTCGTCGGTGATGGTACTGTTGGTAAAACTTGTATGTTAATATCGTACACTACAGACAGTTTTCCGGGGGAATATGTGCCCACAGTGTAAGTTTTGTTCTCGTGCCTATTGGATACCTATTGTAAATATACTTTGTGTGGTTGCAGCGAGTGTTTAGAATGTTCCAAGTTTGCAAAAAAGCTAATTGTGAGTATTATAATTGCAGATTTGACAACTATTCTGCACCAATGGTTGTGGATGGTGTAGCAGTGTCCCTAGGACTGTGGGATACTGCAGGACAGGAGGATTATGATAGACTTAGACCTTTAAGTTATCCACAAACAGATGTCTTCCTTATATGCTTCAGTGTGACAAGGTATGTAGCCCAATACAATTATTTATGTGCACATTAGAACAATGGATATGAGATGTTGTCAAACATTTAATTACAGTACAAATTAACATTAATCAGGCCATCTTAGCCATTCACATTGAGTTAATAAAGATCATAATTTTATAACAGTGATGCTCCAACATAATTTGGATGATTAAGACTAGTTAAACCTAGTTCTGACTCAAATTGTTTCTACTCCCACTTTAATCTACACATGCTCTCTTGTCCTTCTACTATCTAAAATGTATTCAATCAAGTCTTATCATATCATAGTATCAAGAAATATCATTATAACAGTATTTGATAGTATTATTTATATTCCCCAGTGCTACTATTAAATTTATGTTTCTCAATTTTTAGCCCGTCATCTTATGAAAATGTTACTTCAAAATGGTATCCTGAGATTAAGCACCACTGTCCTGATGCACCTATTATATTGGTTGGTGAGTACATAATATACTGTCATAATTATTTTACAGCAACAATAATATAATACTACTAGCTAGTTCCGTGCGGTTCACCCACTCTGCTCGGGTCCTATTGATTGTAGCGTGATATTTTATAGCCTATAACTCTCCTCGATAAATTTACTATCTAACAGAAAAAGTGTTATTCCAATTGGACCAGTAGTTCTTGAAATTAGCGAGTTTATAAACATATCCTTAAGCTTTATAATATGCGTACGGCGCGTCGCGTTCCGCGCGCGCCTCAAAGAGCCATCAGACCACCACAGATGGGGCCCAATAGGGCCGATGCCGATTCGGAGTCGCGGAGAACCTAACGGGTAACTGGGGCTCCGGCTCGACGTGCAGGAGAAGGAACGGGGTGGTTTTTAGTCAGTAAGAGTCTGACACTCCCTTCCGCCTCACCCAGGCGGGAGCAGTCATTCGATGATTTTACCCCTTAAAAAAAAAAAAAAAAAAGCTTTATAATATAATAGTATAAGATAAATTGTTTCCTTATTCCTATTTCAATTAAATGGGTACATAATTATACTTATTACCGGGTGTAGTATTGTAATAGTATCCCCATCTCTTGTCTGTACTATAACTCAAATTACATCAAAATTGTATTGACTTTATAAATACTTTATAAACTTTATAAATAATCATTTTACAGGTACAAAGATTGATTTGAGGGATGACCGTGAAACTCTCAGTTTGTTATCTGAACAAGGAATGTCTCCGTTGAAGAGGGAACAAGGACAAAAGTTGGCAAACAAAATTAGAGCTGTAAAATATATGGAATGCTCTGCATTGACTCAACGTGGACTCAAACAGGTATGATTAAAGAAAATCTCATTTCTCTCTTTAATTTGGTAGTTTATGTTAAACATTTTTAATTACCCCATCATTTAATATTTTTGGCAATATTACTTTCTATATTAATTTTTGATTGTCATTGTATATGCCCAGCACAGGATAGGTACTATACCTACATGAATGTGAAGCTTATGCCAAAGATAACACTGTTATTGTTACCAGGTGTTTGACGAAGCTGTACGTGCAGTATTAAGACCTGAACCTCAGAAGAGACATCAGAGGAAGTGTTTAATTATGTAAATAAGACAAACTCCATGACAGATTCGACAATTATACATGCAGAAAGCTCTCGACGACAGTAATAATGTGTTTCTATACCAGCATGTTCTTCCAAGGTAGCACCCATATTATATAATAAATATTGAACAAAAATTACAGTCATTGCATGTCAATAAGTGCCATAAAACACATTCTTCATACAACATAGTGATACTTTATAATATGTTAACTGTATTTGGATCATCACACAACTATTTTAGTTATATTTTCTGCTTATATTTAAGCATATGAAAATGCCAAAGATTTTATAAATAGATGTAAGACTCAGTATATTATTTAGTATGTTTTTGTAAAGTATCTTCAATGGTTAGAAACAAATTGTTACTGTTATGTAAAATGACTATAATGTTATTTTTGTATATGCAACTGGACCTCAATATTCGAAGTTTTGGAATATATTCTTATGCAACTTGTGAATAATGACTGACCGTAGATGCTAGTTTTTAACATACTCAATTTAAACTCGAATTAGTTGCAGATGTTTAAGCATTTATTATCCAGTAAATGGCGTATTTGTTAAGCGGTATTTTATTTAGATATATTATATTAATATTCATGCTTATAATAATTCGTAGGTTTGCTTTATTCTGATTGAATAAAGTTATATTAATTTATGCTGATTTCTCTTATGCTAACAATTTCTAAAGGCAATAACTTTGCTATTTTATAGCCACGTATTACATACGTAATATATATCTGAAAAATACTTGTACTGTATTGGCAGCTGATATGACTGTTTTAAGCTTCAGTGATGGTGAAATTTAGTCTTATCGCCATTTTTTTACTGATCTTTTTCAATTTTCTATTAATACTAATTTAATTATTTTTTTCGAATAATGTTTGTGATTAGACAAAGTGTGTTTATAGTGATTTATTAGGGCGAAATATTTTTGTATGTGGAAATCTTAGACTTAAGGAATATAATGCATTTAAAAAGTACTAAATTCGCTACGAAAGTCTAGCACAACAACCTGCAGTGTCTCATGCATTCTCAAACAAGGAAGTAGTGTAACTGGTATGTTGCGATTGTCCTCATAAATGAGGACGAAAATTAACATTTCGAACGGAAGGAAAATGGCGTGCATGTTGATAAATGCACCTTCAATTATTATTGATATTATTTGTAGACTGCTTTGATTTACATGTAAAGCTTCAAAAATGATTCGTGTATATACCTATTTATGTAAGAGCTAAACGAACTTGTGTATTATGCACTTCATAAATTATTGAACTTTATCATGGGCTTTTATTTAAATCCTACACAATCTTCATGATCAGCATAAAACAAAATCTTTCAAGTAATCGTCAGCGAAGCAAGAAGTCTTGGGTTCAATTACAAAGTATACAGGATGTTATTCTACGTAATCCTCTCGGGAGGTGATAATACAACTAAGGTCCTACAAAATTTGCCCTGAGGTTTCTGGTCCGAAAGTGGCTAGTTTCTGAGATATATGTTTTGAGTGAGCAAGGATAGGTCGCCGCCCAACCAGAACCAGACCCGTGCGTGCGGCGCGTCGCGAGCCGCGCGCGCCTCAAAGAGCCATCAGACCACCGCAGATACCCATCTGTAGGGCTGATACCCGATACGGAGCCGTGGAAGGCCTAACTGGTTTCCGAGGCCCGGGGTGGTTTTTAGTAAGAGTCTGGCACTCCCTCTCGACTAACCCAAGACGGGAGAAGTCATTGGATGATTTTTCCCACTCAAAAAAAAGGCTAGGTCATAATGTAGGGGGCCACGGGTGAATGTGCATAGACTGGGAACTCTGAGGCCAGTAGGTGGGCAGGTAGTAGGAAGGTAAAGGTAGGTAGGAAGACGGTAGCACAGTAGTCATGTGGTACCGTGTAAACCGTGCTCAAGGTACACTCACGTCCCCAGGGATGTGCTGTGCCCGTAACAGGCATTGCACCGTGGGGGCTCCGGAGTAGGTCTGTTTCAGTGGACCCGATGCCCATACTTTGAACATTTTTCATTACACATTAGTAATCAACCGATCTGGATATTGAACCGTCTAGCCATTGTTCTGGGATAGAACATTCGGGGGGGGGGGGGATTCGTTTATTCTTCTAAATTGAAACGAGCAGACGTAACGGATCACCTGATGGTATGGTAAGCAATCGCCACAACATCACAGGAGAGGAGTTACGAGTGCGTTGCCGACCTTTTAGGTGTCAGGGCTTAGGGACTTGTGGTGAGGAATGAATTAGACCTCCGGTTACCTCACACGGCGAAACAACTCCAGCGTTGTTCCACGCCAGTTTTCTGTAAAACCGTGGCGTCCCTCCGGTCTAACCGGCCTATTTGTGGCGAACTATGACTTAGCTACATTGAAGATAGCACGAATTGCAAGATTGGTGCAGTGAATGGACGACTGACTGCCGTGAATATTGCGACTTCGATTTCTACACCACACGAACTAATTTTTAATTTTATTAACCGACTTCAAAAAAAAAAGGAAGACTGACTTGTATGTATATTTGTGCGCTATTATATCGTGATAGGCTGAACCAATTTTGATACAATTCTCAGGATAGTTTTTATTACACTTAGGAGAACTTTTTGTATACTGGTTTTAGTATACTATTTGACTTAAAAAAGATGGGTGTCGGTTTTTTTACGTGGTTTGTAAAAGAATTATTAGCAAGCTCACTTTCGATCATATGTCTGAATTAGGTACCTATTTATTAAGTATCTTGTTCGTTGCTATCAGTATCTACTATCATACAGAATAATTACACTGATAGCATCTTGTTATATTGTAAGTCATGTTCAGGGATTATCAAAAAATATTCCGATTACTATATAATTTATTTATTTCATATAACACGTTTACATGTCACTGAAACATTGATTATAAACGAATACCTACACACGGATCAACATTAAAAATTAGGATAGGTTTTACCAGAGCGCTTAGCACAAGTTGCAAAAACAGCAATCTCTTCAAGAATTACATTGATATAGGATTAGTATACTGTAAAGTATGTCATGGATTACATCAAATACATGAAATTATGTTAAAGAAATCAATTTAACTGTGACTAGATAACTATGTTTTATCGTATAAAATATTAACATCAATTCTCATTTAGAACTAGGATTATAAAAATTGTAAAGATGTCACACAGGAAAAATCCGCATATTGTTATGAACAGAATTATGTACGCACATTAGAACATCGAAAAATATTACATACTTAATTAATTAAACAAATTCTCTATATGAGTAAAGCCTGAAAGAATACAAATAGTATCTAGATACTAAATTACATACACTTATTAATATAAAAAATATTAAATGCAACTGATAGGAAACCTATAGTAATATAATATGACATTAGGTCTATTTTTACCTGATGAGCTAGACTGAGAAGTACAGTATTTATTTTAATAGTTTTAATATTTTTATCCATCAAATAATATATTACTCTTGTTAATCTTCTTGCAACCTATTTCAGAGTCGTAAAAAACTGTTCTAGTAGGTAATCATATGCAAATCTCAAACTAGCTCCACACTCAGATGCTCAACAGTTGCTACTTGCAGGTAACAACCATTAGACCCACAAGGAAATCAATGTTGTAAAATTAGTCATGACATATTAATAACATCCTTAAAATTAACAACAGTGTGTCACAGTTTCAGTAGGTAATAATGCTATTATGAGATCTTCCATGATTACAATCTCTATCAAATATAGATATAACCAAAACTAGTAAAGAACACATTTAACTTGTCTATAAAACATCAAACCTAGATTACACATAAAATACTGATTACCAACATTAATTCATTTGAATAGAAACAAGACATTTTTCTGTAAATAAGATTGAATAAATAGGCATCTGCTAGCTACTTGATTTCATCTCATGATACAAACAATTTCTTTGAAAGTGCTTTTAAACCATTTTTACCTATTACATACATAACTGGTATCTTATAACACTAAGCTCAATAGATTGCACAATGCTTCCATATCTGGATCATCAAAATACAATATAACAATAGAAATTAGAAGCTTCTTTGACATTTGATATTGAAAGAACATTATACATTATTTATTTAAAAAATCCTTTGATGGACTGGAAAACATGGATATTATTATTGTGCATTTTATATACAGCATTATACAATATACTTTTACCTACTAACACTAATCAGTTTGTTTTTGTGTTTTTATAATTTTTGTGATACCAATAAAACAATTGCTTAAATCTTAAACATCTATATAATTAAAACATTAAATATTGGGATTTATATATCTATCAAACTGGACACAAAAGATATTTTAAAACAAATTTAAGACATAATCATCATAAAATATTGTAACCCACAATAAGAAAATGCCTTATATTTAAGTTTTACTTGTAACATACATTGGGTATATTTTTGTTTTATTTCACAACATAAAATTTTGAGTATACATTTTCTGGAAAGCTTGCCATATCAAGCGTCTACAAAATTTACTAGCCTTCGCCGGCTGGTAAAAAATCGTCTTCCTGATATCACATAGCTCTATATGGACCTTGAGACTTTAAGTATTGAATTACCAGTGATGGTCCTGAAGATACTACTTCAGGGGGAATTGCTGTCAATGGGCAATTTTCAATGCTCATAATTTGTAAGCTGACACACAGAGCCAACTCAAATGGAAGATTGCATAGGTTGGGGTTATCATTCAAGTACAAGGATTCTAAATTCTCCAATGTTCCAATTTCCTCAGGTAGATATTGTAGGTTGTTTTCACCAACACTGAGGTATGTTAGATTAGTCAAATGACCAATAGAGCGAGGCAGAGATGTCAGCTGATTAGATTGCACTATCAGTTTCTGTAAGTCATGCAAGAATCCAATTTCATTTGGCAAAACCTCTAACTTATTTTCTTCAAGGTCAAGAACTCTCAGTTTCCTTAGGCTTCCAATACTGGGTGGTATCCGCTTCAAGCAATTGTTAGATAAAATTAACACTTCCAAATTTTGCAAGCATTGAATATCATCAGGTAATTTGGCCAGCTGATTGGTACCCAAATTGAGCTCCACCATATTTACCCATGTTCCTATGTCCAAAGGAAGGGATGTAAGTAAATTTTCTTTCATATTCAACTTTGTTACATTTTTAGCTCTTGAAAATATCCCATAAGGAATCTTATCAATTTGATTGTGTTCCAGATTAATAGAGACAACATTAGTAAACTGAGCTGGTCCTCCAGATGGGTAGCTCCCAAATGAGTTGCGAGAAAGTGTGATGCTTGTCAGTTCATTTAGGCTGGCTAAAAGACCATCAGGCAGTTGGGATATAGAGTTACCTTCAACATTAAATTCATCCATGTGTTTACAGTTACTGAGTGTAGCTGGAATAGCAGTCAGTCTATTGTACCTCAGGCCAAGACGAGTTATTGATTGAAGGTTGCCAATAGTCTCTGGTATATCTAGGAGCTCATTGTGTTGAAGGTCTAGTGTTGATAAATTAACACAATTACCAATTTCTTGTGGCAAATGCTCTAAATGATTGTGTGAAACATCAAATGTTACCAAGTTCACCAGTTTACCAATGCCAGAGGATAGTTCTTTAATTTTATTCTCCCTTAAACTTAACATTGTCAAATTAGTCAGGTTAGCTATTCCATTGCCCACAACTCTGATTCTATTGAATCTTAAAAATAATGTAGTCAATGATGTCAGTTTGTACACCACTTCTGGGATGTCATTGAGCTTGTTGTGTCGCAAGTCTAAGACTTTTAAACTCTTCAAGTTGGCAAGGGATTGAGGTAAACTAGTTAAAGAATTTTCATTCAATGCTAATGTTTGTAAGTTCACCAAGCAGCCAAACTCTGCAGGAAGTAATGCTAGCTTATTTCCATACAAATAAAACTCCACTAAGTGGGTTAGATCGCGTACATTCGGAGGGAGGCATGTTATGGAAGATTTGCTCAAATCCAACCGTTTGAGTCCTTCATCACGACATCTTTGGAATTCTTTGATTATATCTAGATCAGCCTGGATGGGTTTATTCTTTTTGGCAGTGGGTTTAGGTTTGTTAGACTCGGGATGCTTGACGGTCACGACTTTAGGACGTGCTCCTTCAGCGTTTGTCAGTGACGCTGTGGATAACTTCTTTTCTCTCATACTTTGATATTTATCCCTCGGGCTCACGGTACCAACAGAATCCAATGCTTCAGAATTTTCTCTCGACGAATTATCGAGATTCATTCCGTTCTATTGCAAGAACAGATAGTAGCTTTTTGAAAATCTGAGCTTCTCAGTATTATTTACTAAAATACACTTGACATGGTTTTGTCATCTCATCGTAATAAGACACAAATCAATACCCTATTTCAGTCAGTCAGATGAACGACTTCCTGCACTTATCCGCGATAACACAGGAATATAAATAGCACTTGTTGCAAATAACACACTGTAAACTTGATCAAAAGCTAATATTTCCACAAAATAACGCAATGTGCACAATTTTAATGATTTTTAGTACAAAAACAGACTCAAGTCAAGCGAACGAAAATGGAATGGAATGGAATTCGATTCAGTCCAACAGATTTCTTTTCAAGCAGGAATGACAAGTGACAAGATTACTCGATTTAATTTATTAAGAACAATTACATCGATTAATTAAATTCAAACTATTCAATGTGTTACAAAATTGAGATAATTGAAACTTTAAACAAGATGTTACTTTTGATTGGTCACTTTTAGCATTAAAAGTGTTTCGCTTAGAAAGAATCGAGCAATCGATTTTACGTCTCTTTGGTTGATTCTTTTTTGTCTATGCTTTGCCATAGTTTTTGGTTTGATTTGATTTGTTGTTGCTGTCGTTACTGTCATAAACTAGGTATTTGACTTGTCAACAGATATTTAGAAGAATAGGTTATTCTTATTGTTTCTTATTTCTCTCACTTTCTGTGTTTATTTCTGTGTAAATAGTCCTACAAAGTACACCCATCAACCATGGATAAAAATAAGGAAAAGGAAGAACAAAGCATCATGGATAAATCCATGCGATCTGTTTTCGGTAAGTTGTGATCGAAAAGGAGTTAAAAATGATCAGCATTATTTGAGTAAATAATGTATTAATGAATCAAATTTATAATATTTCAGTTGGTAACATACCTTACGAAGCTACAGAGGAGAAGCTGAAAGATATATTTAGTGAAGTCGGTCCTGTGCTTTCATTCAAGTTAGTATTTGATAGAGAAACCGGTAAACCAAAAGGATACGGATTTTGTGAATATAAGGATCAGGAAACTGCACTCAGTGCTATGCGAAATCTTAACGGGTATGAGATTGGTGGGCGATCTCTTCGTGTTGACAATGCTTGTACTGAAAAGTCTAGGATGGAAATGCAAGCATTGATGCAAGGGCCTCAAGTAAGTATCTATTATGTTCTATTGAAAATATAATCTACAGTACAAGAAAACTACAGTTAAATTTTTTGTTATAATTCCTTTATTAAACATAGAAAAAATACAGCCATTATTAAACAGGCAGTATGTTTATAAGAGTCATAAAAATATAACTAAGCAGGCTAAACACCTATATTAAGTCTTTAAATTATATCTTAGTTCAGTAAAAGATACATCTCCATACTTAATTAATATACTGACAAAAGCTCAAGTTAGTTTCAAGTCACAGAGTGACTCTTCCCCATGAGCACAGAGGACTAATAATTTTTTGTTAATACGGTATGTCTCATAATCGTTATTATAAAACGCATCTCCTTACTTATTCTATAATGAATAGATCCTTATCTAAATATGAATTATGTAAATATTTTTCAGGTTGAAAATCCCTATGGAGAACCTTGTGAACCTGAGAAAGCTCCGGAAGCTATCAGCAAAGCCGTGGCCACTCTTCCGCCTGAACAAATGTTTGAACTTATGAAGCAAATGAAGCTTTGTATTCAGGTAAAATATACTCAAGTGATAGTTTCTAACATGATTAGGGAAAGTGAGTGTTATATATATGTCGCAGTAAGATAGATAGAGCCGTAATATAGTTATATCCCTAGGAATATAATCATATACCGGGACATAGTTATACGAAAGCGATTCATTACTATCTCACTAGGGATATAGTTATAAAACAGACCAAGTTTAGTGATATACTTAAGTTCAGTGACTAGATTAAGTTCAGTGTTTTAAATATATTAGGGTTTGTCTCAAAAAAGTCATAGTATTTCATATTGTCATCATATTGCAGTATATTAAACATTTTTGAAAAATTGAAAAAAAAAAAACGTGGTGGCGTAGGTATTGAGAAATCCCTTGAAGGCACAGATGTTTCTGATGCACTTTCCACTTCATGACTTGATGTAGGAACATCTACGTTCTCTTGTGTTCCAATGGCTTGTATATGAACAAACTGCTGTTGCCTATTTTGATCATGCTGATTCTGTCTCCTGACACTTCTATAGGCATTAGTCCAACAACATAAGCAAACTTTTTCTAGCCGGTGTACCTAAAAAATAAAATTGAAAGCTTTAATCTTGCTATTAAGGATTTCAAGCATAACTTTTATACATATTCATGATCAATATTATGAATTATTAGATGTTAGTAAACAATCCAAGAACCATTTTAAACTGTCAAGCACCAAGCGGTCACCGGTGACCGCGACCTATTGTTCTTTAATTGTGTCTATAAAACCGGTACTCGACGAGTTAATGAGGGATAACAATAATAATGAGTGAAGTGTTAATAATTTATAAGTATAAATACCTGCTGAGTAGGTATGTATGACATTATGACATTTCCTTCAGGGCTATTAATTGATACTCAGTGTGTCTTAGCTCTTAATATGGAAGATCCACATACAAAACACACTTGTTGATGTCAATAAGCTCGTTCAACTGTTGCTCCACTTGACAAGTTTAGAGTTGCTCTTTCAAGTATTGTATAACATTCTTGACAAACAACATCTTCCTCTGACACCTAAAAATATATATAAAAGATACATAAAGAAACATTATGTTTGGATATTAACCTTAGCATTAGTTAAATAAAAATTACCTACATTATTTTCAAAAGTATTTACAAAAGTATAACTTCTTTTTGTGGTGGTATCTCATCATGATTATTAATTATTATTTATAGAATCGATCAGCTGTAAAAGTTAAATGTACAAGAAAATACATATAGTGTATAAGACTTAGACCCCGGTGGCTTAAGGCCAGTTCTTCATAGAAAACATTATCCCACTCTAGGGTTTTATTCTGTGTTGCAGGTGTGTTTACAAACATCTAAATTCACATACACAAACAGCAAGATTCTACTGGTAGATTATACAAATATTTGTTTTGTGAGGGAATTGAACCTGCAACATGTAGCACAGTAGTAGATTGCTTGATCACTGCACTGTGTCACCAAAAGTTAAAATCCTGTGCATTGTTTGGTTGAAAATGTATAGGATTTTAACAAATAGTATGCTTAATTACTGATCAAATAACTGGCTATTAGTATTATCTAAAGTAGTATTAAGCAATATTATTGGTAATATAACATACTGTACGTAAGCTTTGCACACGTGTCTAAATAGTGTGCGAGTCTTGAGAAAAATGGTAAAAACTGACCTGACCGTTGCTGGAGCAATCCAGGTTCGTAAAATTCTAACCATTGTGTCCGTTATGTCCCCGAGTTCACGAAAGTGTAAAGGATGTACCAGAGAAAGGGCACAGTTCACACAGCGCGACATATTAAAACAATTGTTTATGATTTTCTGCACAGAAACTCGGACCGTAGTCGCAAAAAACGTTCTACACAATCCACATCACTACCACAGTAACAACAAAATAGTCTTGAAAAAGATATCTTGTTCGTGCAGGAATCCGAAGACTCTACTGGACACAAACTCGACGTACCTAATAATAAGTTATTTGTTATAACAACAAACATAACAACTTATCAAGGAAAACAAAACTTCGCCGTCGCGCCAATACAACGCTGTTTGACTTGACAGTGACACTTTTGATGAAAGTTCACCTTTTATTTGCCCGTCGTAGTGTTATCAACAATTAATCTAAATCTCTCTGACTATAACTGATTTGTCAATTGATAATTAGAAAATAAATGTTTTATTTTAATATAATTAATTAAAAATAAAAGTATAAATCACGTGGGAATATCTAATATTTAAAATATTTTCTAAGACTCAGCGTCTGCCTGTTTGCCAAACCCGATTACCGGGAAGTTCATAAAGTTGACAACACTGCTTTCACTTAAAGAAAGCCATCTTGAAAATAATGCAAATAAAATCGAAATAATTACTATTTTGACCCAAAATATTAACCCCACATTTAATTTCGATCAAGATAACTAAGAAAAGTTAAAAAAAGATTTCATAATTTATGGGTATATTTTTGTGGCTATACAGTTATCTTCTATAGCGATACTGATTTTGGGCAATCTCCTTTGTGATTCTTTTTTGAGACAGACCCATTACTTGATTAAGCTTAGTGAATTAGAAATCTACCAAAGGTATATAATTAAATGAAACAATGTTTATTGGTTTTACCTTTATTAATAAATCAACTTTAAGTGTCTTGAATCTTGACTGACTTTACAATACTTTGTGACCCGGGTTAAAGTAATTGTAATTAAAACAATCATATTTTTTAGAATTTTGCCGTGAACAAAACAAACCCCTCTCCCTCGCCTGCGCCGCATACTCCGAAAGCTATTTCACTAAACTTAATCTAGTAATATAAGTACTTATATTCCTAAACTTGGTCCGTTTTATAACTATATCCCTAGTGAGATAGTAATGAATCGCTTTCGTATAACTATGTCCCGGTATATGATTATATCCCTAGGGATATAATTATACTACGGCTACATCTATCTTACTGCGACATATATATGTCATCCTACTTGTACTTACCTCTTTAGGATGTAAAAGCTGTAACATTGTCACATAATCGTCTGCCAATGTGGCTTGAATGACCCCAATGGTCTAAAGAAAAAGGTTTTGTTTGTTAAAATGTTGTCTTTGACTACCAACTGAAAACTGTTGACCTATGCGGTTGTAAATGTGTTAATTGACTAATGAATAAAATAATAATTTACATTTTATTTACTATAATATGATTATTGTCATCACCCTATAAGTGTCCACTGCAGAGCAAAGGCTTCTTGTCACAAGGAAAAGGATAGAGCTTTAATCACCACAATTGCTCAAGGCAGATTGGCAATTTCAAACTTGTAATATTTAACTTTTCGAAATTGTTTAATAACTCCAGGTTTCCTCACTATGCTTTCCTTTACCGTCTGTCAGTGGTGGCTAAATACTCTTAGAAAGTACATATAATTCGGTAAAGTTACATTGGTACTTCAGGTTTTGAACCCTCATGCACAAGAGGCGAGCACCTTATAACCTCTGGGCCACCATGACTTATAAAATGATTACAGTTTTCTAAATAAAAGCTATACAACAAAGGGATAGCAAGATCACATTAATGATAATATGATAGACTAGCTGTTGCCCGCGACTTCGTCCGCGTAGAATAATGATTTCTGGCAGAATTTAGGCTTTTAAATAAGTTTTTATCAAGAGATATTCTACGGTAATGAATGTCGTCAGAATTGATTCAGTCCCGTGGGTGATAGTGTGATATTTAACCTATATGTTGACCTGGCTTGTTAGTAATCATCCCGGTCCGATCAACATACATACAGACAAACAGACGAAAAATCCAAAAATCATATTTTTGTCTTCGGTATCGATAGCAGACCACATCCCAAGTATTCTTTAAAAAAAATATTAAGTGTACTATTTTGACTTTTCTACGATTTTATTATGTAATTATGTATAGATATCATTCTAATTCAAACAAAATATTGATTTTTGATTGTATTTTGATTGTATTTATTATATATTTATTTGATAATACTTTTAACAGAATAATCCCAGTGAAGCGAGAAACATGATGTTACAAAATCCACAGTTGGCCTATGCATTGCTGCAAGCTCAAGTTATCATGAGGATTGTTGATCCAGCTACCGCAGTTGTAAGTAGAAAAGCTAATAGTTAAACTTTAATTTTCTCTTTTGAGAAGAATTACTTTATTAATTCTTTAAAGCAAAATGGAGGAAAATTCTTACCCTTACTAATATTATAAATCGGAAAGTGAGTTTTTTTGTTTGTTTGTTTGTTCCGATTTCACGCCGTAACTACTAAACCGATTGCTTTGAATTTTTGCAGACGTAAAGTTAGAAGTCTGGATTAAATAATAGAGTACTTTTTATCCCGGAAAAATTTGATATTCCCGAGGGCAAACAAAAGTATAGGTATAGATGGCGCTGTATGTATTGGTATATGTCACATAGGCTACTTTTTATCCTTTTGTGACGCGAGCGAAGCCGCGGGTAAAAGCTAGTAGTAAATAAATTGAAAGATTAAAACATTTTTAATGATTTTTGTAGAGCATGTTACACCCAAGCAACCCAGTGCCGCCACCACTTCAGCCAGGCGACAAACCACCTTCAAACCACTACATGCAAAACAATCCACCACAGAGTAAGTACCTGTATTATTATTTACAAATAACTTTATCAATCATCAAAAATATATTATTTTCTATCTGTTGTAAGTAATCTGCTTTTTGTATAAAGTAAGGTAATACATTAACTCACGCCTTTGTTCATATGAGACGGTAAACCATTTATTTTTATTTTTTTTTCTTAGACCAACAACAACCACCGCAAATGCCGCCGATGCTCGCGGCGCCTGTGCCTCCACCAGTTCAGTATGCGCGTGAGTGTTATTTTAATAAAGGTATTACTTAAAAACGTGATATTGTCAATGTCGCTAACTACTGGATGCTGGTCAGGTGACATGGAACCGACCGATCTGGAAGTTATAATTATGCCTATGTTCAGCAGGACGCCTTGTGGCTAGCTGATATTATGTTCATGATGTTGATCTACACATACACTACTATTTTTTTTATTTTAGGCAATTAACCGTAGGTGTTGCTCAGTATGCGCTTCGCCACAACAAAATACTAAGTTTTAAATAATAGAGAAAAACCTAACCAATAATTGCATTGAGGAAATGTACCAAGATTTAAATTTTTAGGCATAGTTTCGGTGGGCGGCGCTGATTGCTTACCATCAGACGATCCATAGGGCAGAAAAATATCTTTATATTGTTGTCGATTCATCACAGCTCGTCCAGCGATGGGTGACGTGGACCTACGCGGTCGTGGGCCAAGTGGTCCGCCTCCGCTACTGGACCAGGACATGCGCAGCCTGCCTCCAGTGCCCGCTCCGCACCCTGTGCCTCCACCTCAACATCATGGACAGGATACGTATGTATACAAACATTCCTATATGTATAATAGACACATAACTATACTTTCTTCCTGTCTGCATCTGCGGTTTCATATGTTTGGAATTTTGAGGAAAGAAAATGCTTCTATACTCTAATATAATAATACTTTAGAGTAATGAACAACAAATTGCAGCTTTGTATTGTAGTAAAGTAACCTTTCAGATTATATTTGGTACAGTTGAAAATATATTTATTAAATTGCTTTCATAAATTAGTATGTATACTCGGAATTTTAATTCGATTCCAGATTTGACAATTTCAGTGTGGCAACGTAATGACAAGTACTAAATAGTGACGTTGCGAAATTATTCGATATAGAAATGAAATATTTCTGGATCGATTCTTCTCGTTTATAATAATTATAATTTTACTCTCGTGAACTAAGTATATCAGGAAATTAAATATTTCTGAACCGATAATTTAGTTTTGACGATTATTTACGATCTGAGACGTTTCTTTTATAATTGTGTGTGAAATAAATAAAAAAATGTAATATTGAAGGAACATGACAAATAAAACAGATAGATGTATTATGGTAATAAGTTATTTTATAAATTGTCGCCGTCATCGCTATCGCTATCCTGTCACTTTCTGTAACATTTATTATAAAACACACACAATGATTGTTTATCGATTTTTGTGTGCATCACTACACTATTATATGTGGTATCATTATTTCACAAAATGACAGTAGCTATTGTCAAATCTGGAATCTAATTAAAATTCTGACTATAGGTACAGAAAATAGCTATTATACTTATACTTAATCTTTATAATTTTTGAGAAATATGAAAGTGCTAAGTAAAATATATTATTTTAATATTGAAATGAAATTAAAATGTTACTCATCGATTCATTTTTTGATGCAAGCATTAATGTATTTTAGATATTAGATCTGACAAGAAAGATAAATGTTAAAGATAAATAATAATATGGGTCCAATCTTGACACATTTTTATAAAGTAACCTATTTCTTACTAATGCTAAAAGTGAATTTCTATGTATGTAACTATGTCAATTGTCACTATAATTTGACTTTAGTATGTAATTGTTGACTTTTCTCTCAAGTAATGCTCCCCTACCAGTGGAAAAACCACCAGAGCCAATGTAAGTGATAGTTTGTGGTGTGTCTAACGCCCGGATACTGAAAGGCTACTCAAATTTATGTGGTACTTACTTAAATATTGTATCATCTCTGTGATTCTACAAAAAATTAAAATTATCATAGAGACCGATCTAACCGCGAAACTGAGTGGCGTTTGAGTATCTCAGCGTTAGTCTTGTTATAATTTGTATACCTAGCTTATTACCTGTTGTTTAAACCTATACTGTTCTCGCGTTGTTGCGATTGCGAATTTACATTTTACTTAATTTTATTCTGTTACACAGCTTTGTTTTTAACCGAGTATAAGATTTACACCGACGCCGAAAGGAATAAAAATACTTTTTATACCCCATATAATCATAAAGACATTGCTAAGAGAAAGTACATATCAGTAATTGTTTTTATTGCACTATTAATTTTGGACACAGGGCAATAAATAATTGAACACCATTATTTCAGGTTTAATTATTTTTGTATGCCTATTGTATAGATTTTAATACAGTTTGTTTGCAACAGTGGCTTCCCTCGAGACCCGCGGTTAGCGAGCATGCAGACTCAATCCTTCAACTCGGACCCGCGCGTACGATCCAACGACCCGCGCACTCAACAGAAGATTCAACAACGTATGTATTTCTTAGTTATTTTGCAAACGGAGGCACTAAATGGGTTAGTAAAAAGTATGGAGCTTATATGGTCTAAACTATAATCTTCATTTAGATTCATACAGAATAATTTTTATGAAAGTACTAATAAATCTCACCTGCATATACCCTCATAAATAATCACATTTGTAATATTAGATTAGTACGGCCGAAGGGCTACAAGTTACAGCCGAAGTAATATTATCTGCTGCAGTTAATATTTGTAATTGTATTATCAAATGCTAAGCTATGTGTTCAACTTATCTCGCATCTGCTGGTAGCTTTATGACGTTTTCCAAACTGTAAGAAAACGTCTATTAACATTTTGTATATAAAATCGATTATACAAATGCACTGATGCAAAGCCAGGAGATTTAACTACCTAGTAAACATTAAAATGCATGCATTAGAAGATGGATTGTGACAGTAATTTACGCTCGGCTAAATATTTGTACCTTTTTTTAAATGTCCTCAATCAGTCTGCTCCTAAAAAGTCGACATTGATGACAGATTGATATATTTCGTCCACAAATAAAAATAAGAGAAAATAATTACTTCGTTAATTATACTTTTAATTGATTTGGCAACACCCTATAAAATGTAAACCATTTTGATTACATGCCGGGTTCGGTTAACTCTGCCAGCCTGCCAATCAGATGTATTTGCGCTGAAAGTACGAAGCTGGATTCCTAAATAAATGTTTTTGTGGTTCTCTTTTACGTCATTCGTCCAAACTTTCACTCTTCCGCAAATTACTGAAGACTTCTTCGTGTTTTTTAGGCTTCCATCAGCAATTTTATCCACATTTGTGGAATAGAAATTAACCCATGCCCATGTGTTATCACAAACTATATATTTCTGTACTAAGGCGTTAAAGGATGTATTTCATTTCAACCGTAATTTGGTGCGTATGAAACGTCAACAAATACAAAATAAATAATAGTCTGTCCGTCAGTGAACCTAGGTGCTTGTTCCAAAATGTTAATTTGAATGCTGAAGAACGAGCAAGACACTCCATTTACTCTTTAAAAAAATAATATGTTTTACAATCTATCTGATACATTATCCAATATTGCACATATAATTATGTGAGAAAGATGTAAAGACACGCTTGAAACATCCAAATACATCTCACATAGCGCATTTGTAGGTGGTGGGACTAGTAAAATTAAAAACTTACCACATTTCATGATATAGATGTAGACATAATAAATCAAACAGAATTTCGTTTGTCATTACTCTATCTATGTGAATGACCATCAAACATTTGATTTTATTGCATAATCTAAACCGTATTGTTAACAAGCCGGTACTGTCAAACTTATATCAATTTATTTTTCTTTTAAACTGCAAGGGTCAAATGTGGAGTCCATAGGTGAGCTATAAGTAAAACATTTTTATCATTTATGTAACAGAGTTCAACTTGAGATAAAATGCGTCATTTTCGTTAGGTAGGTACTGATGACAAAACCGGATAGACTCCAGTCATTTACCGTCGCAAAATAATTTTGATACCTACCAAGATAAATATTCAAAAAACTGATTGTGTTGTTATTTATTATGAATAGTTTGTTTACTTTTTTTTATTGTAGCTTTGATGATGAACACTAGGTTTTTTTTTAATATTTGATGGGCCGACGTTGGACCACTATCTCGCCTGGTGGTAAGCGATGATGCGGTCTACGATGGAGCACGTCGTCCTATAAGCAGCCTATTCACTCGGGCCTTGAAGAATCTAAAGTAATACCCTTCAGGAAATACAGACTCTGGCAAAGAATTCCACTCCCTAGCAGTACTCACAAGAAAAACTGATGCGAAGCGCTTAGTAAGAATATGTAAGAATCGTAGCAATTGGCGTCCCATAGTCAGTCCATAGTCATAAATAGACAGGCGTGAGGTTATATATGTCTGTAGTACATACGTACTAGATAAAGCATGTTATCTATATACTATCTCGATTAGATATTATTAATTGGTATACAGTCCATGTGTACTGTATCCCAAAAAAGAGATACAAATACCTTGCCTTACCTTAGGTAAGGCATTTGTCTCTTTTCTAAAAATAAAATACCTATAACTACTACAGTAGTAGTAGTAGATCGAGTAGTAGTAGGAGGTCGGTAGATATAGGTTCTCATTTCATTAAATAATAAAAATATTTGAATTTCTTTTAGATGTTAAAAATGTTATTTGTTCGCAGAACAAATGCCCCCGGGAATGCCGAGCGCTGCGCAGGCTAGAACTATACAGGGAATACCTTCTGGTGCTTCCGATCAAGAAAAGGTATGTTTACTACGTATATCCGATTTTTCATTTATCTTTTAACTATAAATCGTTATAATTATTGAATACCCGTTTTTAATTCGCAGGCTGCTCTCATCATGCAAGTGTTGCAACTTTCCGACGAGCAAATTGCGTTGCTGCCGCCTGAGCAGCGCGCCAGTATTCTCATGTTGAAGGAACAAATCGCCAAGAGTACACAACAGCGTTAACAAAACGTTATACTTGTTAAGAAAATAATATTAACACCCTGTTTCACAATTTTTAGTTAAGTTCCCCTTTAGACTGACAGCTAAATAAAATCTGATGTATTTTCCATAAAATATGTTCTTTAACAGAAACTTAATGAACAATTTTGGAACAGGCCCTGATTCTATTATATTCGTTAGTCATTTCCGACTAGGTAACCTTCTCTGAAAATGCCGACATCAAGTATCTGCTTACTTGCAAGAACCTTTGATTTGTATTCTTAATGGAGAAACGACTATTAACAGATATTTTGTACTGTTGAAGTGAATTAAATAAAATTATTGTATAAAATAAAATTCGAGTTTCTTTTCCTCTATTACCTATATCGTTATCTTAACCTTGTAAGTCTCATTCAATAAATCAGTTAATAGAAAAAAAAGGAGTGTGCTGTGCTAATTTACGTAGGTTCAATCTATCTATCGGTGTTATCGCGTACGTGATGTTTTTATCGCAAACAATTATTTGTAGATTAAGATGAAGCCTGCTTGTTGCTTGTATACTAATCCATTCATTCTACATTCTTCTTTGGTGACGAACAGTTCTCATTGGGTAGGTATTCTTTATTTACATTCCATATAATATCTTAATCTGTATAATAGTACAGTGGCAAATTAATACAAGATACAAATTGGTACATTTAAATAAAAAGCAAATTGCTTGTTAATCTTGTTATGTGTGAGATCGTGGCATTAAACTTAATAGCTTATTTTGAATTTTTTACTAGTTATTTATAGACATTTTTATGGAGATAATAAATTTATTTATGTCGATTACTTGTCTATGAGTTCTAAAATGAATTGGCGTAAACGCTTATAGAAGTAGAACAATAAATACTTAAACTGAATCTGATATCGTTAGCTGTCGGTCGAGTAGTCGTCGCGTCCCCATCTCTTGGCCTATAACGAGCATCGGAAATGTCAAACACCTGGTTGCTGAATCATTTTGTTGGTTAGACAACACGTCTCGGATCGTCGGGTCGGAATGACTTTCAGTCTCTGTTTCGTTCGAATATCTTTAAAAGGCATTAAACTTTTCAATATCTTGGTTTAGATTAAGGTACGCCAACTTTTATTGCTTTTATAGCGTAGTAGTCGCTACCAAAAATCAGTAGTTATTTGTTCGGACAACTTATCATTTTGTTAAGTAACTAAAGTTTTAAGTCTGCGTTATATTATTGTGTATGTTTTGTTGCCCACTCATTCAGTCGCGGACCGGCGACGAAAACGAACGTGTCAACTTATAACGTACGTGATCATGATCACTTTATATTTGCGCATTTTCCGCCTACTTGGTTATAAATAAACATTTGTTACCCGTGACTTGTGTTTTTGGCACTGTATTCAAATCATACAGTCGTGGATACATTTGAATTTACTTTCTATAGGCAAATAATTTTGTACTAGATTTTAGTTTCTTTTTACGTTTTTCTGTACAAACCTATTAATTTTATTTTAGGACTGCAAAATGAAGTGGGGGTTTGTTTTGGTAGCGTGTTTGTGTTTTTGTAATTCCCTCGTGGAGTGCAAATGGAAACATGAGCGACGAGAAAATCATTGGCGGGAAAATGCCAATGAGATGACTACATCCAGCTACAGGCAGGACCCCCCTGACCACACCAAGTTGATTCCAATGGCTCGATACGTCTTGCACAATGCAGGTAAGATTTTTTATTCATTATGTTACTTAAGTAGGTATGCGGCAAGGTGGAATAACCCGTCGAATGACCGCAAGTACCTAAGAGATGGCGGGTTCGATTCCGTGGTGAAAAGAGGACGTTACATCGCAAATGTAGATACTTCGGGGATTAAAAAACGTGACATTATGTTCTAAAGAATAAAGGTAATTAATCGACTCAAACATATTAATAGATAGGCACAGAAAAACCTAATTGTCGTGTTGACGCTGTAACCTTACAATTTGTTTTTAGCGAATTTGTCTAAAACTGTTTACGAAATTAATAGGCATGCATTAACATAATTTTGTCGTCATACATTATTATTCACAACAAGTATCTACATCTGCCCCATGTACTCATGTAGGCACTGTGTAAAAGAGATCACATTGTCAAACAAGCAATAGTTAAATACTTATTTCAACCCAGTGGGGTTATTATGACGTCTAAAGCCAGAGTGGTTCCGCTGTGGGAACGAGATCTCGCTAGACGACTTGTATAGCTCTGTTTTTTTCCCTCAATGGAACCATTCTGACGTCATAATAACCCCGCAGTTCGTGCTTGAGAGGATTAATTTAATTTACTTTCTTTGCTTTAGCCACAGTGCACATCTATGCAAACCTACAGCATACAATGGACATCAACTGCTGAACATAGACCTCCCTCAAGTTTTTCGTTTATCCCCCATGAGCTAAATTAAGGGTATTTTGTACCTAGTTAGATATACGCGACAGTACCTACATAATAGTTACTTATTATATTATATTGAGGAAAAATTTCTATGTTAAATTCTCGCATAGATAGGTACATGTAGAAATGTAGGTAGGTATGGTGTAAATAAGCAACGAGACAAACTGCACGTAAGCATTTACAAGGTTAATATTTACTTATTTAAGTATGCATAATCAATAATAATATTTCTCTTATTGTGTTGAAAAAGTATTCTAAGCATTTTATCATGATGTTGCTATGTAGGTATGTATTGTATAAAGGTACCTACATTATCTATTTACGTACGTAAATAACTTAATACTTAAGCCGCTTTTTAAGCGGAAACTAACTAGTTCCTGCTAGACAGAGCGTCATCTACTTATAAGATGAAAACTTTACCTAGAGTTTAAAGCTACGTATGTATATTTACCTACCCATTTTGGTGCCCACCACGCATTCGACTTAATTAAAACACCTCTAACCATGTATATCACAGGTGCCAGCGTTAGTGAGGTAAAACATTCCTCGACTGCCTCGTTGGTCGTGTGGTCGCAAGTGCGACTGCCGGGCAAGGGGTCTCGGGTTCGATTCCCGGGTCGGGCAAAGTACTACTGGGTTTAAAAAATCTCAGTAGTAGCCCGGAGTCTGGAATTGTGCCCGGTATATGGCAATAGGCTTACCCCCTATTACATGGGACTCATAACATAAATAGTGAAAAGTGGGTGTTAGGCACATTGTACAGTGGCATAATCTGCACCTACCCCTTCGGGGATAAAAGGCGTGATGTTATTTTATGTGTAAAACATACCTACCTCTTCATAAAAAAAGTTACGATTTTTTTGCAGACTGGGCCTCACTAGCTACGATATCAATCTTGCCGGCCATCGAAGGATTTCCTTTCTCCAACGTCAAGTCTATAGTGGATGGGTCCCTTGCTAACTCGACAGGAGTGCCATACTTCTACATGTCACCATTGGACTTCAGTGCTCGCGATTTATCGGTAAGTTTTATCCTATGTAGGAACATAATAATATAGTATAGGAATAGTACTTATAGGAACTATAGTATAGGAATACTGGGTGTAAAAAGAACGCTCCCGAAAAACGCCGACGCGTGATGTGGGAGAGAACAAGTTTTATTTTCATAAATGTAAGGAATTAAATGCATTTTTATTAATGTAATAATAGTTGTAATCAACTGTTCAAGGCAGATATTTCAGAAAACAAAAACGATTAATAGTTATTATTGTCAGCGTTTTGGGAGTGTTCTGTTTACAACCCTGTATAGTATTTTTATATAGGTAGGTACTTCACTACTTAGGTACTATCGCCAGCAGGCCAACCTACTCCAATCTGTCTATATTCTTCTTTGAAATATCGACTTTATTTAAAAACAATAAAGTAGATAATCTAATAAAGATGGCATGCATGTTTGACTTGTTAGCGACTGTTCTAATCCTAAAGTACTTTAGGCTGTAGGTACTTTCCTAACGTATTTTAAATAATAATAATGAACTTTGCCGTTTCCGCACTACAAATAAATAAATTCTAAAATATCCTCATTGACTTATCTTATCGGTCCTTTAACTACCAAATTCGCAATTTACCGCCTACTCGTAATAAAGCCAATTAAAACCATATTGTTATCAACAGAAAAACAGCCGTGCTACCGTCCTCGTGTCCCTGGAAGAGACGAGGTACTGCGAAAATAAGAAAATTGACCCTGAAGACCCAAGGTGCACCAGGTTGATGCTGTCTGGAAAGATGAAGAAGGTAATAATCCCTAGTCCATTGACCTTAGTTTTATTTGAGCTTAGAAAATTATGTATAATCTATAGAATTGCATCAAACAAAAAATCTGCTGCCATTGTTTAGGAAGAACGCAATTTCCATGGTTTAGTAAATAAGTAGGTATCGGGAATAAACAAATTCGGGACATAACATAACATAACATCACGCCTTTTATCCCCGAAGGGATAGGCAGAGGTGCACATTACGACACTTAATGCCACTGTACAATGTAACATCCACTTCTCACTATTTATGTTATGAGTCCCACGTAATAGGGGGTGAGCCTATTGCCATAAACCGGGCACAATTCCAGACTCTGTGCTACTACTGAGAATTTCTTTAAAAAGTCAGTAGTACTTTGCGCGACTCGGGAATCGAACCCGAGACCCCTTGCCCGGCAGTCGCACTTGCGACCACTCGGCCAACGATGCAGTCGCAAATTCGGGACAACCATATTATTATCTTTTATCTAGGAAAGTAGGAACAACATGTACATATCAGAATATCGCTTAATATTGGCCGAGTACCATAAAAGAGAACGCATTAAACACGTATCTATATACTAACAAATCGATATTTAACATATTAAGATAAGCTCTCATTTAGAGTGCTACGTTATCTTAACAATATGAATGCATGCATTACTGAGCATTATACATACACACACACATACATATCTATACAGATACATAAAATTAGAGTGTCTATTTGTAATATTACATGCATATAAAACAATACACATACCAAAATAAATTCTTTTTACAATTTTTGTCTTTCTGCTTGTACTGGCTAATCTCTGTAGCAAAATCGCTCCGATTTTGCTAGTCTTTAATGAAGGTACCTGAGGTACTAAAGAGTAACATAGGCTACTTTAATTTTGGAAAATTGAAACAAAAAATAATTCTATTCTAAAATTATATGCGGACGAAGTCGCGGGCAACAGCTAGTCTACTATAAAATTATTCTATAAATAGCACTGTTATTGTCTATTGTAGATTAAGGAACGCACTCCAGAGTATGAGTTCGCAAAGGCAGCGTTGTTTGAAAGACATCCGGCTATGGCTGACTTCCCCCCGGGTATGTATCTGTTATTGATATCAAATAGTACTATCTGTATGTTTATTTACTTAAGGAGATAAACATTACAAGCTTGAGATTAAATTTACATAGAATTTAAATAAGTTATAACGATAAGCAAACATTAGGTAACCAATTCGTTTATTATAAACTTGTTTATCGGGCCCAACGATTGAATGTTTAAATCCACTGACTCAATGAAAGGTCCATTCAAAAAGATGAAGAAAAAAAATGTTTGGGACTCGATATTAAAAATTTGTGGGCATGTGCAGACGCTAGAACATGAAGCTACCGACTACTTATTAGATTTTCAACTTTATAACAAGTCAACAATTAAGTTAAAATTCCTTTGATTGATATTACCTACTTGATGTGCCACCGTCAGACACTACAATAACTAGATATCCTTATTTAATTTTCAGATCACAACTGGTTTGTAGCTAAGTTGAAGATCGCTCAAATCGCAATGATTGATTGGTTCGGAGGTGCCAAGTACATACCAGTCCGCGACTACCTAGCATACAACTACACTGGTACAGAAATGCTACGGTTCCGCAACAAAGGATTACAGAAATAAATAATTAAATTAAACACGCTTTAGACACGACTTTGAGTCTTATGTCGATCAAGATAAGATTCGATGTTGAATGCAAACCTCTTAAATTAGACCAACAATGTATTTTTTTTTAAAACGTTTTAAAAGTGTGTAAGTTTTACACACGAGACAAACTTTAACATTACATTTGCTTCAGTGATGGTGTGTAAAGCGCTTTGTTTTCCTTTAGAGACGCCTAATAGAGATAGGATCACATAGAAATCCCTAAAATAGACTTGTTAAAAGTATGTATGTGTAAGTAACAATAAAATAGTAATGTAAACCTGTGATATAAGCGAACAAAACAATACTATTTTTATAATAACGTACACTTAGCATTACATACAAAATGTTTGTTGTAATTAAAAAATAAAACATTACTGTAACAATAAATAGTTTTATTAATTGCTTATGTACATTTTTACACAAAAATGCTTCGTGGAATGAATTACAGAAACATTTAACCAACTCCCTTAAAAACTTATAAAAATAATCTTAGACTTCTTAAACAAATATAAATAAGAATTACAAAAACAGTAGGATTCAGAAATGGTATTCCATTTTTCCTGTTGCAAACATGTAACCAAATATGGATTCTAGGTAATTAAATAGCCATTTTTGCACATTTCCGTGTAAAACCTACATGGTCGCCAGTCGGTAAGGTTTAGGTATTTTAATATTGAGACTACAGGAACACCAGTGCAAAATAAACTTTATATTAAAAGTTATTTAAATAAATACCAAAATTAATTGAATATACTCAACTTCGATAGCATAATAAACATTAGTAACTTCAATATCTGTATCACAGTTTAGTGAGGTCGCCACTATCGTTTTTAAGGTACTACAATCCAATAATGAAGTCTAGATGGAAAATAGGAAGAATTGCGTTACGTTGCACCAACCAATGAATCTAGACACCACATTAGTTGAGTAACTAGTTGTAGGATAATGGTGTCGTTGTAATGACACGTGGGTCTTACTATACACCAAATAACAAAACACTATTGCTTTTTTATCTATTGGAAGACATTCTTATGTTTACTTTATAAATATTTTTTGAGAGGTAGTCTGGAGTCCAGTAAGTTGTATCTGAATCGGTTTGAAAATCAATGCCTTGATGTATTTAGTAAAATCGCGGGTTACTCGGGTTACTTCGAAACAGAAGAACCCCTCTGTGGTTCGAAACTAGTAGAGCTTTTCTCAGTATATTCACGTAAGTAACCCGCGATTTTACTTAATTTAGTATGTCTCACGATAGTTATTATAAAAGCCTTGATGTATTCCCGTTGTTCTCATAAATGAGAATATACTCTTAACTGGTACTGACTGCAGTTTATTTGAAAGAACTACTAAGCATTCGATTTTTAGGTAAGGTGATAGAGACAATGGGATTGCACTAAGGCGTGTATCAGAACAGGACCATGTTACAGACCATCTTTCAAGACGATATACATATGTTGATACAACCAGTACTAGTACCGTCTTTGTCATAAGGGCCCGTACCCAGGGTTCCCGTTCTTCGAGGGCCCCGAAGGGCCAGCAATTTCTACGACGGACACGCCCTCTAAACGACTGTCCCGCAACATGTAGCGGGCTCAATTTCCGCACGGAGCATATCTTTGTGTGATCCACAAATTTATTTTCGGGTCTGGGTGTCATGTGTATGTGAACTTGTATGTTTGTAAACGCACCCACGGTACAGAAGAAAATCCTAGTGTGGGGAAACGTAAAAAAGAAACATTCCTAAAGGACCCCGCATTATTGTAGTCTAGACGGCCCTGGATAAAACCTTACATATCTTAATATTTTATCTCAAAACTAATATTAGGAATTACTACTTTATATTTTTGAGCTTCTAGTCTTATGTATGATATTGTAGTACGCTATATCCTTCAATTTCCTTAAGGTCAATATCATTTTAAGGTCAGTATGTCTTTTGGCCACTGACCTATCTCAGTTTGTTAGTCATCTAAGTACGGCTTTTGTTTATATTAGGAGTAAAATACCGGATCTAGTTACCCCGCATCAGACCTACTCACCTACCGGCGTTTTATTTTTGTTTTGGAGATACTTAGAATTTAAATATTTATTGACTTAATATAAAGTTGTTATTCTATTCAATTATTATAATTAATCTATTTATTATTTCAAAGTAGGTATATTTTATTAGGATATCATTAAACATTTCCATCGATTCGTGACGCTATTAACATTAAACATAGTCATGAATCACTCTTTGGATGATCCATTTTAATTCATTTTATTATTAAGTACCTACATTAAGTATACATTTGATTATAAAAAAACGGTATCGGCAGCGCACATTATTTAAATAGAAAATTAATATCATTACAAATAATATCAATTCAATTTATTAATTACCCAAGTATATTGTTTAAGGAAAAAAAAAATACTTGCCTTCAATTTCGGCTATGCATATTTTACTGAAATAATATTACTATTTATATTAAATTGAATATATTAGTTTATGAAACAAGTGCGTTAACTAACGACTTATACACAACCCGCAAAATATTATTGCCATTAATACCTACTAGAAATGTTATAAGTCATTAAGACTTTATCATACATATTTTAATTAAATTGCACCTTTATTTCCTATACGATAAGAGTTATTTTAACTTAGTGTTCAACAACCCAGTAAGTTGAGTTTCTTATAAGTAAATATACCTAGTATATTGTGCTATGTCGACCGTTGATTGGTCAACGATCCTTGTCAACATAGGGATGATATAATTTTTTTATTATGTGCTTAAAAGGTGGATGAAATATTTGACACATATTTTTAGAGATCTAAAGTTTAGAACAGAGCATTCGAAGTGCCATATTTATGACCTCAATGCTTTAGCATTATGCTGCTTCTATTTTCATTCTTAAACTTGAGTATGGTTTATCTAAATGGTTTTTACTCATTTAGGCAAATCAAAAATACGTCATAAATATTTTTTCATTATCCAAAAATGTATATAGGCTTTTCATCATCCCTAATGCTAGCTTAATTCTGGCCAATCTATAATAGTTGGACTTTTCCGTGACAATGTACACAGGAGGCGATTGGTCGCGGCGTACTACCACTGCTGCTGTAAGCGTGATGGACGAGGGCATTCACTGGTTCCTCATTCACCCTTTTCACGTCTAAAGGTGTTGCCATTACCTGTGGGAAAATACATATTTATAGATCTCGTTGACTAAGTGGTCGCAAGTGCGACTGACGGGCAAAGCGTTTCGATTAAATTCCCGGGTCGGGCATATTATTACTGGGTTTTTAAAAAAAATCTTAGTAGTAGCACGGAGTCTTTAATTGTACCCGCTATATGGCAATAGGCTCACCCCTATTACATGGGACTCAGCATAACATAAATAGTGAAAAGTGGGTTTTACATTGTAGAGTAGTATTAAGTGCCTTAATGTGCACCCCTTCGGAGATAAAAGGCGTGATGATGTTATATTATAATTATTACAGTACATTTTTTGTCAGTTATGGTATTACTTCTATTGATGACAGGTCTATTGATGAAGCTAACAGAAGATTAAAATACGTAGTATTACTGAAAAAAAAGACATGGAAAAATCTAACTATATTTAACCTAATCTAGGTATTGGTGAAAACTTAGTGACTCAGCCTCATAGTCAACTAAAGCAGTAACCTAATGTATTATAATTTTACAATAAATTAATATTGAGTCATGTTTAAAAATATTTATTGAAGACATAACTTACAGTTTCTGCAAACTTCTCTCCTTCTGTGGCAGTGGGCAAGCTATTCAAATGACTAATATCTTGTTTTTCAACCGAACTGCTGATATTCTCAGCAAGCTTCAAATTCACTGAGGTCATATCTAAAATGTTTGTTGAATGTGGAATCGTCGCATTAAAGTTGAGATTGCCAATGGGCCGATTGTACATTTTTGAGTTCCCTGTATATTCGGTAATGGCGATGTTTTCAAGCCACTTTTCGTGCAAACTGTACAAGTTTTTATAAGTACATAGCATCATATCCCTTGCCCTATATCTTTCGTCAAGTAATTGCTTAATCGCTTGTTGCAAATGATCAGTCTTTTCATTTAGTAATTTCTTACATTGTGCCAATTCTTCAACCATTAAACTGAAATAAATATAATAATTAGCATATTTTATGGTGAGTCAATGTTTTTGTCATTTGCTTGTACAGTCATCGGACTGTGGTTTTAAACATATTGATTTAAAATAATGTTGTTTACTAAATTATTAATTTAATATAATTTACCTGCTTGCCAAGAATTTACTCCTCCACACTTCACACTGGCCGGCCAACCATTCTGTTTGTTCCTGGAAGCAAATAAATTGTAAATACATATTGTAATATAAACATATTTTTTATAACTCACTGGAGAATTATACCGCTAAAATTTTCAGTAGCACGATTAATTAGAAATCTAGAGAACAATAAAGAATTAAATATGGAAAATAATGTGTTTTGGTTCATTCCGCTAACTACAAACTGTATTGGCCATTGTGTCTTGTTTGTTACTAATACTCGGTTTATCTTAATAAACACCAGACGTTTAATGAAACTGGTGAGTCTTTTTCTTTTCTGAAGAAAGGTGAAAATTAAGTCACCATTTAATATGCATACCAGCCTAATCATTCAGAGAATAAAATACCTTGTGTGTTTGTATCAAGGCCTGTTTCACAATGACTCCATAGCCAATATGTAGTTACATACATAACCTCACGCTTGTCAGGAAGGCAGAGACTATCAAACGCCAATTGCTAACATACCTCTTTTGCATCATCAACAGTAATTTCATGTCTTTTATGTACTAGATAAATCTGAATTAAGATCGTAAGTTATATGGATTAAGTGTTACACAAGAAAAACTGTTATTTATATGAAGATGGCAAATCATGTGCCAAATAGCTAATACCTACCTGATGAGTAGACAAATGTTGTGCAGAACTGAGTAAGGCATTAGCCAGATGCTTTTTATCTTCATTCAGAGACTGTACTTGTGTCTCAAGGTCCTCACCCATAGACGCGACCAGCATTGTTTTCAACTCTTTATTGACCTGAAAGTTATCATTATAAATATTTAAATATAAACTATGATGCAAATTGTACTACCGATTGTATATTATAGCAATGACCAGCAATATATTAAGTTTAAAGCACTTTCTGATTGTCTTGAGTTTGTTATTATATCATAAGTTTTATGCTATTTTTTTCATGTATTTGATAAGATACTAATATTTGGTGAATTTTAATGAATATCTTTCTGCTTTGGTGTGTCGGTGATGAGTGTTTTATGGAGCAATCAATTTTTTTTAATCTTTATAAAATAACTGTGTTGAAAGTAGAAAGTGTTGTTTTAAAAGTAGTGAGTAGGGGAGAGGGGGGCACCTTTGAACACTTTTTGAATAAAATATTATATTTGTCGTATTGTGCTACATATCAAGGTATTTTATATTTTTATGAATAGGTATGCTATTTGTGCTACAAAATAAAAATTAAATTAACTTGTTTTTATTTATTAAAGTAGCAATATTATTATTTTTAAAAAACCATTTTTTGTTCAAATGTGCCCCTGGCAAGGGGCACATTTGATAACACCGGGGGCACTTTTGAAATACCATGATAACAAGAAAACAATGTAGCTTAAAATATAATCAACACTTTATTTAAGACATACAGATCGTAAATAATTATAATATATTGCCACTAACTTCGTACATTCACTATTACTTAAATAAACTTTATAAAACTATTAACAGCCTGGGGCAGTCTTGAACAAATGTAAGTAACTTATTATTTTAATATTTGAGATCTAGTTACATATTGCTAATCTTTGTCTTTATATTATCTTTATAATCTTAACATTATCTTAAAAACATACCATTTAAAATGGTCTCAGGAAGGCATTAAAAAAATATATCAAACAAAATAAACAATCCAAATCACCTTATTCCCAAACATATAAGTAAATATTCAAAAAAAAAAACGAACAACTTCAAAACTTTGGTAATTATACCTAACCTAGTTTAAATTTACTAAAATCAAATTTAAAAGTTAATAGAGCAGCTGTACGAGAAGTTCCTGGAGCAGAGCATGGCTTTGGTAGTTTTTTTACAACATCAGTGATAGGTATGCAGGATTGGTCTTCTTTGTCAGGGAACAAAAATTTAAAACCCAATTTCTTTTTCAAAAAAGAAACTAGAAACATATTTTGGTCTTTACGTTTAATAAAAGCTACGAAATATGTTTGTGATTCTTTTTTGGCAGAGTGACATTTTACCAATATATAGTCATTTTCATTTAAACTCTCATTTGTCAAAGATTGAATTGATTCCCTTTCATCAACTAGATAATTAGACTCAGAATTACTTTGACCATCTGTTAAATCCATATCAGAATCATCATGAAAAGATATATTTCCGTCAGATTCTGAGTTTGACTGATATTTTGGCAACGGTTTCTTCTTTTTATACGTCTTGTTCTTGGGCATACATTTTCCTCGTTTTGATAAAGGCAGAATTGAAGGCTTGCGTTTCATCCGATCCAGATAAGCAGCTTCTACTGCGCATTTTTCGGGAGTATCAGTTAAGATTCGTGACGAGCCTTTCTTTCTGCCTTTTCTTCCGGTACGAGGAATCGCTTTAGGAAACGGTCTTATTGCTTCAGGAGTAACTGTTACTTTTTCCCTTATATTTTCAGTGTTCCTGTTTATTTTCGCCAAATTATCAATATTGGCGGCACTTTCGATTACAGATGGTGAATGTGAAGGAGTTTGCTCATGAGCTTTATTAGTATTCTTAGTAGGTGTTTTTGCAGATTTATCGGTTTCATGATTAAGTTCAGGGGGGAGTTGAGATATAAGGCTTATGGTGGGTTTATTACTTTTGTCAATAGCTTTAATTGATGCTATTACAGGTTGATCTACTTCTATATCTTCAGCATCAGTAGCGTCACTGTCGATTGTAGAAGGTGCTGGAGCAACAATTTGAGCATTGTCAGTAGCGTCAGGAGCAGCTGCTATTGTAAGTTCATTTATTTCCAGATCTTCAGCTTGAGTGACATTATCGTTCACATTATGTGGTATAGACGCACCAAACTGTGATAACACCTGTTGAGGTTGATCAGTCTCCACATCTTCAGCTATTACACCACCAATAACTAAATTCTCAGATGCAACTATCAAGGAAACTTGCGAAGGATCAGCCCGATTAGTCACTTCTGAACATTCAAAGTCATCGTCCGTGAATTTGTTTCTGGAAAACGGATATATTCCTGGCGCAGAAAATCCCGATGTGATGTTATTGATAGTATGTGAAGCATTATATGCAGGGGTGACAATACTTGCGAGATCGTGTATAGTTATTGTTTTGCCCGGATGATTAAGCAACCAATCATTTTGCGCGACTGCAAGCTTCGCCTTAAAAGGACTGTTTACTGCAACGTCAAGTGGTTGGAGTTTATGTGTACAATGAGGGGGAAATGTCAATAGTTCTATGCCGTTTTCTCTTGCAAAATTAATAGCATCGATGGTGCAATGACTCTCATGATTGTCAAGGAGTATAGAATTTTATTTTCTTTGGTGCATCCAGTGGTTTTTTTAATGTGTTGCAGAACTTTCAGAAACAAAGGTCCAGTCATCCAACCGCTAGTAGGACTATTGGCAAACCCGACACTTCCAACTGGAGCTCCAATAAGCATTGTTTCATGAAACCTAGCTCTTGGAAAAATAAAAACCGGAGGAATGGTATTTCCAAGAGCATTTACAATACCACACATAGTGATCAATTGACCTCTTTCGGCCGAAACACTTTGTCCAACTTGCTTTTGACCTGTTCTAGCAATAACATTGGGTGCTTGAACAACGGTCATAATACTTGTCTCGTCTAAGTTATAGATGCAGTCTGGAGTATAATTTCCGCGTTGTAACACTCTTTCATAATTATCAAAAAACATCATGACATTATGCTTATTAAAGCTGGTTGATCTGGAAAGACTGGTGTTTTCAGGTTTTCGCAAAGATAATACTGGGTGCCTTTTCATAAAGTTTTTCATCCATTCAATGCCCGCACTCTTGTTATCTAACCATTTTTCAGGACACTTATCTAACGCTGCTGCATATTGATATGCCAATTTTCGACCTTGTAAGTAGGTAAGACCATAATTCATTTTGGACATTTTTAAAAAGTACCTTTCCAGCATAAGTTCCTCATCATTAGTAAAAACTTGATGCACAGTGTGTTTGCTGCTATAATTTATATTTTTTGGCATTACATTCTCTTTATATTTCTTTACTCTATAGTACAAAGTGGTTGGTTTTATATTTATATAGCAGCAGCGGTCCTCAGTTTCATCCTATCATTGATAACACACAATACAGCTCTCTCGGCGTCTTCTTCATTCACATCATTTTCTTTTTTCTTTTTGTAATTTCTTACCATTGTGATTTATATCTGTAAAATAATATAAAATGAACTTATTTCATCATATTCATCAATTATTAAAAAAAAAATAAACATCATTTGTTCAAATAGCGGGGGGCACTTTTGAACATTTTATTCATAACTGCCCCACAGTTTTTTTTCAAATCTGCCCCAATACCATCCTTCAGAAACAAAATTATCTAGACGACCAAGAAACTTGTATTTAATTAACTTATATTCGTAATACACTTGCTATAATATACACAACACTATGAAATAATCAAAACTCGAAAATAATACTTACGTTTTCAGTAATCCGCTTACAATAAAAAATAACAATGTTTGTTTTCGTCTCCGTAAAGTAACCGACCACTTTTATTCTGTTTGACACTGACATTGACGTGAATTGGTGACTGACAGACATGTAGTTCGGTGTTACCAGTATTAAAAAGGTATTGGAGGTTAGGAAAGACAAATAATGCGTTTATAAATCCAATAATTCAAAACTGCCTCTGTTCTAAACTGCCCCCCTCTCCCCTAACACTTATAATGTTTTATTATTTTCTTCTAAGTGACCAATGCTTGATGAAATGGATGACATCCAAAATATAGACATATAGAAACAATATTAGAATAAATTGTGACATTACACATTGCATGTTCTGTTATAATCATAGTAATAAACAATTTAAAACCTACCTGAACTTGCTGTTTCAATTGCTCTTTTAATGATTCATTTTCCTGTGTCAAGCTATCTATCTTTTTTTGCATCTGAACTTTTTCTGGACTCGGTGCATCAACATCTTGACCAGACTTGTCACTAGTAGAGTTCAACTTCGGACGAGGTTTAAATTCATTCAAGTTTGTATTCATCTGAGACATTTGGGTAATCAAAGTATTAATGTCCATATTGTTTTTCGACTTCTTCATTTGCTTTGATGCAATTTGGGGTGTCATAGGCTTCACTGCCGCTGGGTATGGCTCGTAAGGCACAAACTTTGGTGTCTTCATATTTATGGATTTCCTTTTATCGGATTTTATCACTTTAGTAGCGTAAACTTGCACCAATCGAGTAGGCAAAGCACTACCTTTCCTTTCTGGGGTTCTGGTAATATTAGGACCGACATCCTGAACTCTTTCCGACGTGTTTTCGTCAGATTCCATTCCATCACCCGCCGTCCTCGTTTTACTCATAATTTCTACAATAGAGTGATTAATTAGATTATTGAAGTAATCAGGGCATGATAACGAGTACACAATCAGCAAGATACATAAATTAATATACACGAAAGCAGCAGGAAATAGGCCAGCTAAAAAGGATGTGCATACTTGGGTTGAAAGTATTGTATAGTTTATCCATTTCTACGAGATAAGAAGTCGAAAAAGTTAGATCATAAAATACAAAATCTACCGACGTTTCAATATCTATAAATGTTTCTTTTCACTTTGATTTGTTGAATTGTTTTTACTTTTATCGCTCACTATCACAAGTTTTGATTCGTATTCGTCGTCTTATTTTTGTCACTGTCAGCTGATGACATTGACGTTTGACAACAAAAGCAAATGTCAGTGTCAACTGTCAAAACATTCTTTATGCGCTGGACATCACACTGGCTAAGATATGAAACCATTCTGCCTATGACAGAAGATTGAGAACCTGTTCATTAATAATTTTAGATTTTGACTATAAAAATGTTTTAAAAGTATGCCGAAGTGTAAAACCTTTAATTTTAACTGACGACAAACAAATGGTGAATGTGAGATTTATCTCTTTTACTATTTGTACTTTGTTCGTAATTTCAATGGCATAAGGAATGAAATAGTAATTGAATGGTATAAAAATCTTATGCGTTAAAATATTATGTGAACTTTTGGCTTATACTGTATGGCTGGCTTATATTACCCTTCTCTAGCCGTTGTGTAGTTCAGTAAGAATTTATTTATTTATTTATACTTTATTGCACACACAGAAAAAAATTGTAAAGATTGCAACAGTAATTTAAGTACAATGGGCGGTCTTATCACACGCGGCGATTTCTTCCAGACAACCTTTGGATGGAATTTTAGAAAAGAATCTGGGAATGGGTGGTAGTTGCACAATAAAAAAATAAAACCAAAATAGAAGAAAAACAATAAAAAAAACAAATTAAACAATTAGATTTTACTTTCCGTAGTAAGTAAAAATAGATTTACACACAACCACCTTTCCTTCTAACCAATTAGTTAATTTTTACGCTTTCAATAGCAAATAAAAGAAAACCTTATCTGTAATGATTTAAAAACAATATTTATTTATCAAAACCAATCATTTATTGCAATAAATTAAAATACCTACAATGACATAAACATTTCATTAAGGCTTCAAAGTAGCATCTAGTTCTCCATTTGCTTGGAGCTCTTTGATTATGTCTAATCCTCCAACTAGTTCTCCTTTGACATATAGTTGTGGGTAAGTAGGCCAATCTGAATACTCTTTTAGGCCTTGGCGCACCTCTTCATCAGTCAATATATCAAATGTGTCATAAGACACCCTAAAACAAGAAAGGTAAGTATTAATTGGAAAGTAGTTTAGCAACAGTTTAGTTTGACTACTTGTTTAGTTTCTATTTAACCCGTTGAAATTCATCCCCTAAATTTGTTCATACAAAAGTAGTCTCGTCTCTAAACATTAGAAATAAGGTCTATAATGTAGTTAGTGGAGAGCGGTCACCAGTGACTGCTTGGCGATGTATGGGTTAATTGAAATAAATAAATAAATAAACAGTAATAAAAATACTAAATCCAAATATAAAAGTGATAAAAAATCAATCATGTCTATCACTTTTATGTACCAGCAAATTGATTTTTTATTGAGTGACTGACTTAAAATTTCATAAGCGTGAATGAATTCAATTATAATGAAATTGATTTGGGAAAATAGTCAAACAATATTTTGTATAGTGCAGTAGTAGTCTTACCCAGTTCCATTAAGAATTTGAATTAAAGTTTTACTGAAGCCACATCTAGGCTGATCTCTATTGCCTTTCATGAACACCATAACATCATGTCTATTGATCAATGCTTTCAGTCTATCTTCAAGTTTCAAGGGAGCAACATCTCCGAGGGCAGTCTTATTAGCACTGTGAGCTTTTACTTTGGAAGATATTTGTGCTGCATCAGCACCATCCACTCTGTCTACCTGTGCTCCATTTCTGAACAAAATGACTGTTGGTACGGAGTCGATCTGAAAATATAATCCATTTTCTTATGAAAAATATGTTTGGACTTTGTTACCACCAACCTAAACTATTGATCAGCTATTTAAACAAATTTTTAAAAATATATTTGGGGAAGTTTTAACATTATTTACACAGGTGTTTGTATAATATTTTGCATTATCATCGTAATTTGCATGTTAATTATGTGGTTGGTAGCAATTAAGCAAATAATTTTTACCTTGAACTGCAATGAAACTTCGGATAACTTTTCAGCATCACAAATAGCTATTTTGCTACCACTGGATTGTACTTCAGGTAGCTTCGCCAGTTCTTTCAGGACCTCTGTGACTTGCTTACATTGTTCTGCCCAGTCAGCAGAAAAATGGACTACCGTTAAAACAGGTGTTCTGTAATAAATGTAAATAGATTTATTATTATTCAAAGGTCTTGAAACACAAAACTTCCAGATAACATCAGTTCCGTAGGCCAAGCTTAGTCATGCTATCATACTTTTTATCAATAGATATCAGTGTTTTGTTTAGTTCAATAATCTGATTTTATCAGAATAAACAAAACATGTCAAAGTAACTGCCATGAGGCAGGCATGGCAAAAGTAATGTAAGTTATGTTATCTATAGTGACCTTAACAAAAAGGTGAAACATAATTGATAAATCACTATGAAAAACAATAATAGGTCTTGTTGTAAGGAATAACTTAAGTGTTAAATGGAATATTAAAGCCTCTGTAAAAACTATTAAATGATAAAATTGATTAAGAACATTCAGTTCGTATAGGAAACAGAAAAAATTAAATGCAACAATAGTACCAAGAGATTAAATTTTTCAATTTTTGCCGTGCATAAATCTACTTTCACTTTATAATTGGCAGAAAATATAAAATATACTTTACTTACCTAATAAAATTTTGAAAATTTTCGGCTGTGTCTAAACTGGTGACAGACATGATGAGGTTGAATAAAATTGGGGTTAAGTTTAACTATCGAACAAAAAGTAATAAAATAAACGGTTGTATCTTTATCCAACTAAAGCGGCACTTTTATCACGTAACACGACTATCTCTTCTCAATGCGTAGTATCAAATATTCGTTCGTTTAGCCCAAAAACTCTGTAGACCCGCTGTCTTCAGTGTTGAAAATTTGACACTAGTTCTAGTTTGTCACTTGTCAGCGTTGTCACAATACATGTTTAGTAAGGTGTACAAATCTAAAATAACTAATATTATCAATCAAAAGAAAATAATAATAAAAATCAATTATAAATTTTATCTGATAGATTAAAACAAAATTGAATGTTATTTCATTTCATACACTTAACTAAAAAAGAAACTGGTGATAGTGCTCAATCATTGATGTTTTCATTAATCACTTGCATGGACAGTAGAATGTTCGCACATCCCTATTTTATTTTGACAGAAAAGCCATAGACAAATGATAACTGTCAAAGATCTGTCTTATTGTCGCAGGGCCATTAATTTGAGGTTACTTCCTTTGAATTATGCTAAGAATTCTTGCATTTATTTAAAAATAGTCATTATTCGTATTAAAGTAGGCGTTTAATATCAAATTTAGTAACAATGGCTACTGTATCTAGTGCACCGGCACCAGGGATGCATCAAATTGATTTATCCAAGCTTAATTTACAGCAGTTGGCTCAACTTAAACAACAATTGGATCAAGTAAGTTTAAAAATACACAACGGATGTGCTTTGAAATATAATACGACACCTTTGCATGTTTTTTCATGTCAAATTGACTGTGTACCGTTTGATTATCTATCCTATAAACTTACTAGGTTATGCATGAGTAAGTCCTGAAGAATTTCAATTTATTTTTTAGGAAATGTCTGTATTTCAAGATTCATTGCATACACTGAAGGTAGCTCAAGGAAAATTTATGGAATCTGGTGAATGTGTTGAGAAAATGACTCCTGAATGTAAAGGCAAGAGCATACTGGTACCTTTGACTGGATCCATGTACATCCCTGGCTCAATAGCAGACACTGAAAACGTTCTGATTGATATAGGAACTGGATATTATGCACAGAAAGTAAGTATTGATGTAAAATTTAATGTACCTTAAGTTTTTTTATATTTGACGGGCCAATGTTTAAACTGTCAAACACCAAGCGGTCACCGGTGACCGCAACCTATTGTTCTTTAATTGTGTCTATAAATACGGTACTCGACGAGTTAATCACTAAATTAAATGAACCCATTAAAAATTTTTAAAATCATCCCCTAAATTTGTTCACACAAAAGTAGTCTCTAAACATTGGAAATATGGTCTATAATGGTAATGGGTTAAACCAATTATTTATTTAATTCAATCTTATTTATTTAATTTAAAATAAAATATCTTACCATTTCCTTTTCAGGATATTGCTGGTGCTAAAGACTATTTCAAGAGGAAAGTTGCTTTTGTATCGGAACAAATGGAAAAAATAAAAGCTTTAGGTGTAGAGAAATCAAAGGTTCACAAAGCTATTTGTATGATGATTGAGATGAAGCTGCAAGCCCAGATGCAGGCAGCAAAGCCTTCAACCTCATAAATATATTATTATATACTTTATAAGAAACAATTGCTTTACCATTTTTGTCGCCTTGGGATATTTAAGCATTAGAATCTTGGCATTTACACCACTCAGCATAAACAGGGTTGTTCTAATCACAAATTTGTATGAAATTATTATTATCTAAGTATGAGCAGATACTAAGATTCACACCAACAAAATTTTTCATAATTACTGATATCTGTATAACAAGTATAACAATATGTTTTGTATGTAAAACACTCATTTTGACTAAACTAACCAGAGGTTCTTTTGTTCTCATTTAAAAATAATGTAATTATTAAAATAAAAATTAGTTTCTATTTCTAAAAAATTGGTCTTTGTAAGTATAAAAAATATGTAACAATGTTTAGTTAAATGCTCACTACTTTGTTAACCTCTCTATTTCACATGAGCTAGTTTGATAAATAAATTAATATCAGTATTCTTTATTTATTTTAATTCAACATTTATACTTATTCATTCTGGCTGTTAATTTTTTTTGTATGGTAGTTTTACCAAAAATGCATAATCAACCTCCTTAGATAAATCTTAAAAAAGGAAAGGTGCAAAATACCCAAAACAGATAGGGATGTAGCAAGATTATCTTAAGATTTATTCACATAAAGAAGAATGAAGTGAAGATAAAAAATCTGTGTGCAAATTGGTTTTGATAGCGCTTTGTAGTTTTTTCTGTAGGTATAGATTTGTATGAGTTTATGTATGTCCCATGTGGGTGTGAGTTAATATGCCATACCTGTAGGTACATAAGGGTAACATTAAAAAAATACCATTTTAGTAATCAATATTGATTATACTGGTCCTCAATTTGTCTTATCAATTTAATCATCAATTCTAAGAGGTTTTTTATTTTTTTCAGATAAGCACTCCACTTTACATTACTTACCTATTTGTCCTATGCTAAATGAATCTCATCTCATCCATATTTTCTTTAGAAATTAAATATCTCTGATCAAGATCATACTAAATAGCGGTCAAGACCAGTAGTTAAAATATTGGGCTTTTTGTTTAATTTTTAGCTAACTTCAAAAAAGTGGGTTGATAACCCACTTTAGCACTTATGGAGGAGAATTTTAGAGCTTTAGAATGAGGATAAAAGGAATTGAGAATAAAAGTAGATAACATTGTGACACCAAATGATTTATTTTTTTAATAGGCCAAAATGATAGAGCTGATGATATCTACAATAATAATGACTTACAATAAACTATCTTATAATGTATCTACAGTATGTCTTATAGTCACAAAACAATATAAACTAAATAAGGCAACGACTATTCCTTAAGGTTGTAAACAGTTTCTATTATTATGTGTCGTAAAATGAGTTTTTTTTTATTTAAATTTCTCTTATGAACACGTGAAAAGATGTTTGGATACAAGATAAAGTTTTAATAGTTTGTAAAAATGTACAATGGTATTTTTTTAATACAATTTCTTTTACTTTACATCAACAGTATGCATTAATCCTCATAATTATGTATCAAACAATTAATTTACCAATCGGAAAAATTGCTATATTTCATTTACGGGTATTTCCACTTTGCTCTCTCTCTCTAAGTTTACCACCCTGATGTGGCAAGATGACTGCCTAAAATTTTACAGTGGTATTAGCCCCATCTATTCTGATTTGATTGGACAGTCAACAATAATCCATTAAGAATTTATACTAGTGTAAACTGCTCTATCAAATTAGAAAATAGGACAAATTCCATTACAAAATATTAAGCTGTCTACTTTGCCACACAAGTGAGACGGACTTGGTGAGGTAAAGGGGAACTCCCTACTCTTCATTTACAATAGTTTTTGAATAACAATTACACAATTGCGCATTTATATATTTCTGTAATTAATTTCAATATCTATTTTTACGCATCAGAGTAAAAATTTAGATTTATAATTATCTATTACAATAATTAATTAAGACAAGTATTTATGTACAATTTATTACATTACATCATTTATTATAGCAACTATAATAATTATAACAAACTTATATCGGATTAGGATTAGTCGTGGATACCAATTTAATACGACATCGCCTTTGGCGAACACTTCGAGTTCAACAGTCAACACCATAACCCTTATATTAAACGTTCCATACACAGTATTATGAGTAAACTTACACGAACAGATCACTCGCCTGCTCGGCGAAGTCCTTATCTCAAATGGTGTAATATTCTGGAGCGAAATCATTTGCAAGATTGCTGAGAAAATGGAAGTCAGAGGATGAATTGGAGTTGTCCCCGGCAGGCGCGGCGTGCGTGGCCTCGTAGAACTGCTGGAACGAACCGTAGCCGTCGGCGCACTCCGCGCCACTGTAAGCCTCGCCCGCCGCGCCTGCCGCCACGGCCTGCGCACTTGCTGCCCCGTATCCTGCAGCTTGCTGTGGGTAAGCGTTCCCATCATAATAATTCTTTGAATAATCTGTTCCGTGTGATGCTTTCTGTCCTTCAGTAGCGTAGTAGTTATGACCGTGATCATGTTGAGTACCTTCGTGGTAATGGTAGCCATAATGACTGTTTGCATAGCCCATATGCTCTCCAGTGTAACCCTGCGATTGATCATAACCAGGATGACCGTAAGCTACTTGATCTTTCCCATACCCTGGATATCCATAATTTTGATACATTTCGTGAGGGTACGCTTGCCTCGATGTTATACCGTTAGTAGCCCTCGTGGAAGGAGATCCTTCCTGTCTAGTATGCTGCTGATTTCGGACGTAACCGTGTTGGTCAGCTGATTGTATTGCTGCACCATATCCTTCATAGTTTCTGTTACCTTGAGGATATTGTGTGAGCTTTCCAATAAATTGTTTGGAGTCCATTCGAAAGTCAGGGTGTGGTACAAATTGTCCAGGTGGCGCGTTACCGCGGATAACGTAGGGAGGCATTGCATTGGGCACAGATTGGGGGTGTGGCGGCCCAGGTGGAGCATTTGGAGGTGATGGTCTAGGATAGTGTCCCAATGGACTTGGATGCATACTTGAGGGAGTCCCTGGCGTTGAAGAAGGTGTCAAATTTACCGAAGAGAATTTCCCGTTATCCGAAAGACCGACTACAGGGCCAAGGCCGTCTTTAGAGGATGATGGCGAAACTTTACACGTCGTGTCCAATGAAGGTGATCGCTTCCTGGATTCTTGTTTAATTCTCTTTGTCAAATTTCGAGGAGCAGCAGTCATTGCTGTGATTGGAGGGTGTCCGTCTCGTGAATCGTCTTCTGCAAGTTTGTCCAAAGAAGAAGACGAAGCCACGCTGGAGGCACCGTCGCTCGCGAAGCTGTTGTTGTTGGTGGCACTTGGCGTGTTGTTATTTCGTGTGCGTGACGCTAGCTCCGGTAGATCTTCAGCTGGAGAACAAAGAGCGCCGGGCGGTAGTTCGCATCCTTGACAACTCTTTTTACCAGATAACGGTCCGTCATCATCCAAAAATTTGTCGAGCCCTGTTTTGGAACTTTTGCCACCTTCTGAAGTAGTGGAGTCTTTGTCATCACCGTCTTCTGTCTTGCTAAGCGTTTGCCTTTTGTGCTTCATGCGTCTGTTTTGGAACCAAACTTTGACCTGTTGACAAACACAGAAAATGAAATTAAATTCAACTAAAATTATACTATACTTACAAGTGACAGGTATTTATAAAATTAAATTATTTGGCAATATTGAATCAATGTTCGTTTATGCTGCATGATGATTCATTCATGAATTTATGAATACAGAAGTAATCCAATAGATGGCGCTACATATCTGTTATAGAGGGATTTTGAGAATTCAAACACAGATGCGAGAGCCGCGAGAGGTAACTTAGTTGACTTAGCAACAACACGTCGTGTCGTGGGCTTTGGGCTGCTTACGTAGGTGATTCGATTACTTAATTACCTATAAATGTACCTAATTACCTAATAATGTCCCTAATACCCCGCGTTTCCAATCGCCTACATTAATTTTGTTGTTGATACACTACCTGTCTTTCAGTGAGGTCTAGCGAAGCTGCTATCTCAATTCTTCTCGGCCGGCATAGGTACTTGTTGAAATGGAACTCCTTCTCCAATTCCAATAGTTGTGTGTTCGTGTAAGCAGTGCGCAGCCGTCGCGGCAATCCATTTTCTGTAATCAAAGTAATCGAACTCAATAATTGCTCTAGAGTGCTTTAAAACTATTCCATTAATGTTTTACAGCTTTAATTTTGCCCCATAAAATATGAACGGCACGCTTCGAATTAAATGTTATAGAATGCTATTCCTGGAAGCTTTCAATAACATGGCTGTGGGCCGGCTCGCGGCTCGCGGGTACGCTTTCCTTTAATGTAATAACTTGATCGCATGTCAGAGCACCGCCCTTGACGCCATTGTGTCGAAACGCTGTTCTTTTTATTTTACCACAAAATACGAATTGGAATTCGAAATTCAAATTACAAAAGGGCGGCGAATAATGGGGCGATCGCGTTCGCGTGATGGCTCGGCCGCGGGGCTCGCGATGTCATCTGTGCACTGGTTGTGGGCCTTGTGTCATTCGCGATAAGGGTTATAATGTGGTGTTGGTTTTGTTGATAAGGTGGGGTCGGTTCGTGTTTGATTGACGTGTTCGTCAGGTCTCGCCGTTGCTATTGGACAAGGGCAGCTGTCAATCAAACCTAACGCAGCCCTTGGTTCTGCTTGGCTGCACTGAGGTAAATGCTGCTTTTAATTTGTAGGAGCGTACAACAAAAGGGAATATGAAATTATTTACTTTGTAGACAAAGAATTACATGGTATTGGCAATAAAGAATAATTTATACGTTCGAGTAAGGAGGTCTGTAAACTCAGTGCAAGTGTAATTAATTTTACCTAACGTGCTGAAGTTTGTATACTTGGTGAACATTCCTAAATGAACGGTTTACTGAACCCGAAACTCGATAGCCCTTGGTCATCCAACGAAATTATCGTGTCTTAGTATAAAGGGGTACGAAAGTGTCTACCTGTATAGAATTATTATGTGTGGTAGGTACGTC